AAAAAAAAAAAAAAAAAAAAAAAAAAAAAAAAAAAAAAAAAAAAAAAAAAAAACATGAATATTGAAAATTTGTGATTACATGATAATCTGCCTTACAGGTCCGGGATTGGCTTTCGTGACCTACCCAGAGGCCATAACCATGCTCCCCTTCCCCCAAGTTTGGGCCGTGCTCTTTTTCTTCATGCTCTACCTCTTGGGCATGGACAGCTGTGTAAGTTTTGTAAATCCACCAATACCTTGTAATAACTGATTGTATTTGAATTTAAAAACATCCAACAGTTTGTACAAATCGAAGCCATCATATCAAGCGTGACGGATGCGTACCCGCGATTGAGGAAGCGAAAACATTTGGTCACCTTGGGATCGTTGGTTGTTTTATTCTTAGGATCGTTGATTTTCGTGACAAACGTGAGCACACCTTTTTGTTCCCTTCTTTGTAGCACAAAACATTCGCAGGGTGTCTACGAACTGGGTTAAAAAAACAAAGGGAAAAATTAAATTTTTTCTTCTTTTTCAGGGTGGAATGTACATCCTCCAAGTGTTCGACTGGTACGCGGCATCGATCTCCGTCATTTCCATCTGCCTCGTTGAAGTTATCGTCGTCGGATGGACTTATGGTATAAACAAACAAAATAAATAAAAAAAAAAAATAGTTTAAACACGTAATTTGGAACAATTGATTAAAGGCTGCAGGAACTTTGTGCGCGACGTCGAGTTTATGATAGGCGAGAAATTGCACTGGTGGTGGCCGCTTTGCTGGAAGTACACCACGCCCGTCATACTATCGGTAAGCTTCCCAAGTAATTATAAACGACCAAATGCTGTTACGTAATGGTGTACAACCGTGGGACTGTTGCAGTTCATCTTCGTAACGACGATACTGTTCAACACACGAGTAACTTACAACGGGGCGGCCTACCCGGAATGGGCCATAGCGCTGGGCTGGTGTTCGTGTCTCGTGAGCATGCTGTACATCCCCGGCTACGCGATTTTCTACTTGCTCTTCGGAAAGGTTTGGGCATTTTAAATCTTGGGCTTGCCGTCACTGGACCATTTTTTCACGTTTTACGTTTCACGAACAGGGAACGATGAAGGAGAAAATCCGGTATGGCACGAATCCCACGGAAGAATGGGGTCCGCAAAAGGCGGAGTATCGGGAGGCTTGGGAAAAGTGCGTCAAGAGCAAACGAGCCATGAGCGATCACGCGTTCGTCAATGGCGTTAAAGTTACGAGATGCTGACCACATACATATATGTGTGATAAGGAGGAGGGTATGGAGATTAATTTTTGAGACATGACAATCCATGGATGTTTTGTACTACGTGCAGACAAGTTTTTTTTTTTTTTTTTTTTTCCATCTACAATGTACCATCGTTGAAGGATAATGACAAAAAAAAAAAAAAAAAAAAATACAGAAATGTGAAACGAACGTGCATGCATTGTATATGTGTATCTTCGAAAACGAAAAAAACAAAAAACAAAGTTCACCAATCACAGAATAAACTCGTCGTTTGTTAAATTCCCAGTGTTCCTGCCTCTCCGAGTCCAAATTACCCGTGAAAATAGTAGCAATTATCCGTACCGAATCTTCAAATGAACTAAAGAAGAAAAAAAAAAAAATAAAAAAAAAAATAAGTCAAAATGCCGAAATCACTGGCGAAAAATCCAAAAAGAAGAAAGTCCTCGAAACCCGGGGCGCAGAAAAAACTAACCTCACCGGCAACCAGAACCCGGCCGGGGAAAAAGCATCCGAGAACGGCCAAAGCGAGAAAACGGATGTCCAAATCCAAGAAAAAACACTCCGTGGTGGGGAGTAGAAAAAAAAGCCAAGTGGAGGTGGTAAGCTCCGAGGAGGTGGATGGTAAATCGGCCCGGGAATCCTCCCAGTCCCTCCGGCTGAAGCGATCGCGCGAAGCTCGACGCCGAGCCCAAGAGAAGATAAAGATGATGTTCAACTCGTCCGACGATCCCTATGACAGGCCGCTCTACTGGTGGGAAAAATCACACGTGAAATACGCGTAAGTCATACGCGTATAAAAACAATACTTATATCCCCGACAAACAATCAAAGCTTTTTCACATGTCTTGTCAGCCAACGAGCTTTTATACGCCTATACCTGCTACTCACGTATGTAAAACCTATCATCACTGGCATCAAACGTCCAATGCCCGACGTAATCGCGTGCCTGGATGGGCTGTGGGGGGGAGGGGGGATTCGGGGGTTGATGTGTCACATGTCCATCAAGAACATTTCGAATGTACGCATTTTCGAGCTGTAACGCTTGTCTAGTCTGTCAGGACTACTCACTGCCAGAGCGTTGTGCCGATAGCCCCTACTAGGTTGCACTATATATACCGATTTGGCTCGAATCATCGCCCGCGAGCTCCATCTCCCTTAGTTCCTCTGGTACTTTTCAATTGAACGCTCGTTTTTTGGTTTTTTGGGTTTTTTTTTTTTTTTCCCAGAGTCAAGCTTGTCTTGGAAAAGAATACTGATTTTAAAGCTTTGACAATTATCGTGTACAACATTTTTGTCTGCGATGTACCTGCGTATAGGGATCGTGTCATCGAAATTTTGTTACGCATATGAGTTGCAGTTTTAGTATTTCTTTGGTGCGATCGTATAGAGCAAAAAGTGTTTACTATAAATTGAATATCGATGGTTTGCATTTTCAAACGTTTTTTTTTTTTTTTAAAGAGCGACACTCACCTTGAATTGTTGTACTAATTGAAAACAAAATCCGTTTTTTCACTGTAACTCTATAAATTTAATGTTTCACGCCAGAAGGTCACTGTATCAAAAATAACACGTACGCCAGTTTTTTGTCGATCACGTTTTTATATTGTTATTAAACTTTTTGCTCTGTCGACAAAAATACATCAGTCGTATGGTGTTGTGCAGAAGCGCAGTACGGTGTTTATGAATTGAGTGACCACACGTGTATACGTAAAAATGAGTTACGTGGGTGGTTTCTGGGCGGCCGTGGAGATGCTGGTGGCGTTAGATAGGCTCCGGGCTCGTCCTTTCATCGAAAAAGACGTGGTCGAGGATTGGCTCGATGATTTGGCGAACAAATTACAACTGCACGAGAATCAGTCCATGGATGGGGACAGCGAAAGCTCCTACGACTGCAGCTTAGCAGATTATGGAAATTTAGTTGATTGCAGGTACCTCACTTTAAAAATAGAATTAGAAAATTTAAAAAAATTTGACCTTTCATAGTACATTAGCATATATTATTAGGTTTTTTGCAAAATCTTTTATTTATTGATTGCTTACAAGTAAGTACCCAACTCTCAAGCGTATTTTATATTTATGATTTGTTGGCTGCCTAAAACGAGGTATCGATGACAATTTCAAGTGCGTGTAAAATTAAAGTTTTATGGTTTATAAGTTTTATTTTAACATAACTATAAATTAAGAAATTTGTACGTATTTTTATTTCAAGTAGATGTAATACGTAAGAATAATGTGTCAAGAATAAATTTTTTTTTTATTTTACATATTGTTAACTACAAAAGTGAATTTAATCATTAATTTTCATTTTATTTTTTATTTTCATAAAAGTAAAATTCGCAAGTCTTTCACATTGCTCGAACGACTTACGATGGAGTTGTCAAGATACATTTTAGAAAAATTTTCACAAATAATATGTAAAGGGTAAGTTTTGATTCGAAAAAATTAGGGTTGTTTTAAGTTGTCTTTATGTATTTGAATAACCTGATCACACGTTAAATATTCTTAAAAATTTTTCTTGCAACCCTCTGTTAAATCAACAGCTCTACAAAAATACTGCATATGTGCAACACAGCAAAGTTAATAAAAATAATTTTCTTAGCAAAAGTATTTTTTTTTTGCACCAAGTCATTCTATTTATATCAAACAATCCAGAGTTAAATAAATAATTAATTTAAAAAATAAGCTTCGGTAACTTATGTAAAAATATTAATGTTTTTACCTATATATTTTTCAATTTTTATTTGATTTTATTTTTTCAGAGCTTTTGTTATTGCCTGAACGATTTTACAAAAGCAAGTAAACGTAGAAATGTTTGCCTTGTGAAAATAAAATTTTTTCATCATAAAAAAAATCATCGGTTGAAGTTCTACTATATTATTCAGATAATGTGTTTAGTACTTTGATAAAAGTGTAGTTTTTTACTTACAAAAAAAAAGAAAAAAAAAAGAATCATAAAAACTGATGTTAATCCTAGAAAATTTTTATTCAAGGGATGTACTATTGTTGTATACACATACTGCCCCATACTTTGAAATAGTTTTAATTTTTTTTCTACAGTAATTTAGCTGAGTATAAAAAAAAAAAAAACTTAATTCGATAATGTTATTAAATATTGTAGGTAATCCGAGTTGATCAAACTATTGTTAAATAAACTCTAACAATCAAACATCGGATAAATGTACCGAACATAATAATATAACTCTGATTTTTATATGTTTATACAATCATTTACATATAAACTGCACTTATTCCGGTGAAGGCAAACAAGCCCAAGTTCCAAATCATCGAATTCAGCGTTAAATGTGAATCTCAACGTCGTCCATTGTACATATATATGTTCTCTTTGTTCAAGAAAGTGTAGCGATTTTACAATACCTACTTTCTACCACAGCTGTCTCTTGAAAATATTTTCAATCGATAGTCGATTGGCTTTCATGGCACGAAAGCTCTGCATGAAAGGGCAGACGAAAGTAGGTATATGTATATTTATATGTAAGCTTAGAACGACACGTTATTTTTTTTTTCACGTGTACAAAGACACCCAGTATACAAAGCGGCTCACGTCCTTCGTTGTTTGAACGTTTATAATCACAATACACGGAATTTAAAGTCAATTGGTCGATTGTCTTTCAAATATGCCGTGTCTGTTTCATTTGTGCTGTTTCTACTTCGATTAGACACGCATTTTTTCGTTATTTACATTTTTATTAAACTGTACGATGGAAATTTATTGCAACAGTTTTATTTTATATAAATAACGCGTTATAAAGATCCACCCCATCATACCTTTCGCAAGTAAGTATTGTTTAGTTATTTTTCCTTGTACTTTTGTCATGCGGCATCAGGCGCGTCTGACCATACTGGGAGTTTTCTACTTAAACTCGACGCACTTTTTACGTATACATATTACACTATAAAAATTTCTAGAAAAAAAGTATGGTATAGGTATTTTAATTGAATTGCATTTCTCTCGTTGTCATTGTTCTTCTTGGCGAATTTTGTTTTCTTTTTGTGGCAAAAACAAAGAAATCTTTGGATAAAAATAAATATACAGATTTGTGGTTCTATATAGACGATGTGCCACCCAAAAATCATTATTTAAAATGCATGCTAAAACCAAATTGTTAAACATCAAGAGAAGAACAATAAATCAGACTCATCACGTATCGGAACAATGTTCAACGATTACGCGCGACGTCGATTAATTTAACGCCCACTGCCAATTAGATCGGGACAGCGCAGTTATTGCGACATTTCACCCTCGTCGCGTATACGAGCAGCTGTACGCGTACGTGCTCGTTGCTTCTTATTTTTTTTTTTATGTTGCGGTGAGCTGTATTAGTAAAGAAAAACAATCTTTCCTGCATTACCACAGGAGTATATAAACTTTTATTGTTCCCCTCGGCTCGTAACATCCAACTTTCGTTCCTCTGACGAGCAAACACCAACCGTAATCATATACACATAAGCACCATCAGCAAAAAAGCTCGATCCTATATGCATATACGTATATATATATATATATATTAAATACCTATACACAAAGCATCACCTACACACGAACCAGTCATCGCACCAGTCACGAACACGGCATACAAGCAGTCTTTGCTCGCGTCTATCGCCTTTGCTCTTCAGTTGTAACTTGGGCCTCAAGTGCCGCGGCCGACATCGGCTATACACGTGGCATCGATTGATCGGTTATTATAATATCGCGCTCGTGTCGCTTACCCCGTATAGCTTTTACACCGCGGTAATATAATAAAAAGCCGCGTTGGTGCAAATGTATACCAATTAGTTGATTTTTCGGGCCCGATTGAGATTTTTCCTCATTCGTTGTTTGATCATGTGTGAATTAATTTTTTTTTTTTTCTTTTTTCATTTCGTAACAAGAAAATGTAAACCAGTCCATTATCGCGTTTCAAGTAAAGTTCCGCGTTGGGGCGTATTAATTTACGTGCAACCGAAATATAGGCTGTGCAAGTGCAGAAACGAGAAAGGGATGATATTATCACCTAATGGAGCCAAATGAAAGTGGGGTCCATAAGTAGCATTAAAAAGGCATTTGCGGGGGGGGAGGGCGTTATTAGAGATTATAGTGGCTGTGCGCGGCAAAAGTTTTTATTGCACCAGCTCGGGACGACATCACGAAAGAAGAAGCCACTGTTGTACGATGGATATGTATAATATTACGCGACTGGTACAACACTGGGTGTGGGAGTATAATTATATATTATTGTAACGTATGGACTCGTGATTCACAGTTTTTCCCACTCGGGTGTGAAGACACGACTGGAGCTGTTGATGGGCAGCAATGTGGTCAGGCTGACCGATCGGAAGTACATGATGAGGTTGGTGTCGAAAATCCGGGAGGAGCACGAGCGTAAGCAGGAGACGCGCATCGAGGACAGAAAGGTCAGTCCCCCCTCCCCCTTGCTTTGATCCTACGGAGACGAATTTCGAGGTGGGGGGGGGGGTAAGGGAAAAAAAGAAATACATATGAAATCCCAGCGTCCCTCTTGTATACACGGTCCCTTGATCACACCGCGATTTTCACTCGAGGAGAGCACGCGCGCTGGCTCCCACCGCCCACGCTTCAATGTGTACACATACATCTCCGATGACTCGATTAGAGTGCAAGGAGTCGAAAGGAGAGAGAAACACCGGGGCGTTATTAAAAACGAGAGCCCCGCGAGGCCGGGGACAGAGGGGGAGCGGATTGCAATCTCGCCGCACTTTTTCTTCTCCTGATGGGTATTTGTGCTGTGCGCGTACTCGACTGTAAAATCAAGAGGGCATATGGTATACATTGGAGTCCGACGAAAGGCCTTTTATCTTTTTTTTTTTCTTGCCTCGCTGGACCGAGCATCGTGATCTTGGGTTTTATCAAGATTTGTTCAGCCGAAACCGAGACATGCGTATAGCTTTCGTGTGTATCTTAACAATGGTGCCTTTGCTGCTGGTCGACTAATTTTGATGGACACCTGTTTTCATTGCAAATTTGTATTTCTTCTCGGTGAAATTTCCCGTTCGATGTATAGGTGCCACTTGGTAAAAATTGGAGGAAACATTAAAATAACGGATACAGGAAATACGCGTAAACGGGTAAGCCAAGCAGGTAATAGCTAAAGCTTGCATGAGTCGGGCTCGTTTCGTAACGTATGTGTATACATATATCTAGAACAACAGCAGCGAGGAGCTAATAATGATAATACAGGGGTATGTGCACGTGTACGCCGTCCAAGTGAGCGTACGGGGAAACTTTGTTGATGCATTATACATATAGGTACTGGGTATAAGTTAATCGTACCTGTGCCGTTTGTTTTCCTTAGGCAATTTTGTGATAATCATGTGGCCCTATCGAGTTAAGCTTGCCTTCCTTTTCCAAGTCAATAACCTATATATATTTCGGAGCAGTTCGGCAAAGGATCAATTTTTTTTTCCCGGTAAATATATTTTTCCCGGCGTTTAATCATCGGTTAGGCACTTTGAGCATATTATACGTATACGTGGTCGTGCATTCGCTCCATCGCGGATGTTTATCTTGAATATTGGAGTATGTTACAGATCCTTTTTTTTTTTTTTTTTTGTCCACCTACGTTTAATTACCTTAATTTAGCTCTATAACGTCATAGCTGATAGGACAAATAAAAACCCAAATTAGTAAAAAAGTATTTCCGTGAGCGTATCGTGTTTCGGTGTGTTTTTTCTCCACTACTCCACAGTAGGGGAATGGGCATCACGATTAATCGGTGTATGAATCATCAAACGTCCTTATAATGAGATTTTCTTCCAAAAATGCAAGGGTTTTTTTTTTCTTTCTTTCCAACTACAATGATGAAAAATAAAAAATTGAAAAAAACAACAGTACAACGTATTCTTGGAAGAAAAACAACTCGTATTCGTAACATCCATGGTGGAAATACAAGTAGTATTTGATGAACCCCTTCCTCTCGCTGAATCGCACTTTGATAATACACACATCCCATTCGCGCGATGCGTGGGAAACTATTGTATCGGTTCTTTTTCATGCTATAGATGCGGGAACTAGTGCGCACGAAAGACTTGGTACTAAAGCGCTTTATCAGCATACAAGAGGCCCCGGCCGAGATCCGCCAGTATCCCCTTTTCCAGCTGTACTCGCACTGCGACTCGATAATTGAGCAGCACCGCGCGAAGGTAAGCCGCTCTGAATCGTGTGCATATGTTTTCGCTGAATTTTTCGCATTTCACCACAGGACACGTCGAAGAAGGTGAAAATCCCGGCGTCGCTCTATCGGATGCTTTATCCGCACCCTTCCAGCGAAAACTTCGAAGAGGAGGAGGGACACGAAGACGTGCCCCTCAAGGAGGTCCTGATCGACGGCCAACCGGTTATGGTAAGGAAAAATCCGTCGACTTTTTTTCTTCTTCTCTTCGTCACCCGAAGGACAAACTAGCACCTTGTGCTTTCCATAATGGGATATTCGATGTTTTTTTCGCCGTGTGATGAAATAAAATGTAAAAGAAAAAAAAAAGAAAAAAAAAAAAAAAAAAAAAAAAAGAAGGCGAGCGAGTCGAGGCTTGGATTTCTGTGATGTACGAGATGAAAAGGACTTTCTTCTTTATGTCGATTCTTTAAGGACAATACTGTTTGTACATAATAGCTATGAGCTCTGTTATTTTGCGCACAAGTATATATACCTACGTTGTACAAAATGCATCAGTGGTACGGTGACTTTTCATTACTACGTGAATTTAATGAGAATTCGTCACAGGTTCCAATGACCAAGGAGGAGATAGAGCAGCAGAGGACGCAACAGGAAGCCGCCAATGATATTAAAAATGGTTACATGTTCACTAAGGAGGAGTACGAAAGTCTTAATTACGAGGCTGACTCTGTGAAAAAGTTGAAGGAAGTCAAGGTAAGACTGTTGGGGCTCTACGTTTTTTTTTCTCCCCTTTCCCATTTTTCATTACGTAAATGGTCGCGCGGAGAATCTTTGACGTTAGCCTGGCTTCAATTTTCTCTGATGCTTAAGCATCCTCTCTTTCTTTGTAACGGAAAATTTTCGATTGTCCCTGGCTCGGAATAATTCGCGCCTACGCGGATTTTCAGGTCGGGTATGTTTTCAAGACTAAGTTCAATTTTACGGGAAAAATTTTCACCATAGAGTGTAATTTACTTTGAATGTTTTCACGCCTACGCGTTTTAGACTCGTAGTGTACGATGATAAAAAAAATATGAAATTCAGGTATTTATACATACATATTGAAAACAAGTGGTAACTTAACGAACTTCTATTGTAGTTCAATCACAACTGTGCGAACCACTCGTTCTTTTTCTTCGTTCTCGTGATTTTTTTTTGTTTTTTCACTATTTTTTTCGTATTTTTCAACCTTTTGTTTTTTATACTTACGAAATGTGGCTACGGATTACTAAAAATAATCGTTTTTCTTTAAACACTTTTGCGACAGGAAAGAATTGCAGTTGAAATCGAGTTCATCTATAAATTTATCCGTAATTTGATAACTTTTTGTGACAATCGAAATACACGTCTATACGTACAAACATTTGTGAATGAATAATACCTGAAATATATTATAAATATGTATACTTAACGTATTAGTGGTAAAGAAATAGTTTTTTTCAAAAATCATCCCATCATACTTGGTTAAGCTTTTTGTTTTTCGATACCTCCATTCGTGCATTAAATTATCGATGCCTGCGATTACCGTCCGCGATCCGACACTCACGACATAGTCGAGACTTTCACGCGAGCCGCGATCAAATTGGCATACTTATATATGTATACGCTATACAGCCGCGTGTCTATTTGATTGACGTTGATTACGCCGAGCCGCACGCGATGGTCGCGAACTCGCTCGAAAGTACGAGGCGAAAAATATGAAAATCCGATAGTTTGACTAACTTAGGGGAGCCAAAGGGTCCCTTCGCGAGGAGTTGCGAACACTCGATCCAACCTTTGGATCTATTTTTCTGCATCTACATGTAAAACAAAAAATAAAAGCAAACGAACAAATGTTTACAGACCGTCAACGAGATGTACAAAAAGGCACACGATATAGTTGGCTTCCTGATTAGTTTCTCGCCCAAGGAGAAGCGCAAAACGTGCGCCATGGACGCAGATCCCGCCTCAGCATCATCGTCGGCAGTTGTGTCCGCTGCCTCGGCCAGCGGAGCTTCCGTCAAATCGAGGCACTGATGGCCCCAAAGACCGTCGCCGAGTTGTCATTGTTTCATCCCCAGTGACTACAACTATAGGACAATGGCTCGAACAAACTGTACCTATACCATTTTTCGTTGATATTCACAAGCGCGAGTATAATCAGTGCCGACAAGTGTTTCAATTGGCATATTATGTTATTATAACCATGTATTGCTTATAAAGTTCATGTATTGTATAGCTTTGACGGGAAACAAGAATACCGTTGTTATTAATATTATTATGTTTTAATGTGCTATGTCTCATATAAGTACCGTTTGACTAAACACAATCAAAAGGAGCTTTCGATAAAATTCATGATTTGTCGAGTCCAAATTTTTGTGAACCATTGGACGTAGGCGGCCGAAGCTTCGAAACAATCAGCCGTCTCGGACCTGCACTTTGAGCAATTTTGCGCTATAACGGGCGAGCGCGAAAGTTTCTCGTACTTTACAGCCATGGGCACGCCTACACCCGACTACGAACTTTACGTGACGTATATATACGATGCCAAACTCGGTAATGGGTGGTGGCGAAAAAATTAAATTTTTTTTTTTTCCCCCTCGCCAAACTTGTTTTAATTGTTAACCCCCGTAACTTTTGTACCTTTCCCGGTTAATAACAAGCTGGAAATTAATAATCGTCGCCCCGAGTGCCCACCTGTTGAGAGTAGGATACACCTCCGGCTTGGGCTGATAAATTTTCGTACGCCCAATTTCGCTTGCTCTTCGAGCGTGAAGTAATAACGTCATTCAAATCGTAGGCGCGTTTTGTCGCTGAAATAATAATAATAATCTCGTTAACGTCATTCCGTATATTTCATGTTGCAGGCGTTCAAGCCGAGCATCCCATTTTCTTTTTTTTTTTTTTTTTTTTTCTTCGCGCGGTAATAAGTTAATTAAGTTTTCGAGCAAACTGATTCAGCGAAGCCCTTTTTTCCTTCATTTTGTACACTTGAACAATAAAAACAAACAAAAGTGTCCACACAATTAATAAATTACTGAGGGGGTAAGTATTACTTTTATGAAATATTTGAAAGATATCTTGTGCAATTGCGTCACGTTGCGTGATACGAAAACCTTGTAAGTGCAGTCGAGCAAACTGTCATGCTGCTTTCACTCCACTGTTGTTTACGATTGTTTGCAATTAATTATCTTAATACTTTGTGCTCAGTAAAGTTAATAAAGATAATTGTTTTTAATAACAATGACTTTGAGTCTCCTTTCAAATGCTACGAGTTATTTTGTACGTGTTTAATTTTTTGTTATTTTAAAAGCGATCAGCGAGGCCAAGAACATATTGCATCAAGATTGGCTAGATTCTATGTTGTGAGCTTCCCACAACGTCTCTCGGATAAAGCACTGACCAAATATTTAAATCTACATTATTAAAGAGAAACATAAATATCTGCGTGTAATTATAACAATAATATAGGAGTATACAATTATGGGATTTGGTATCGAAAAACTTTTTAACTTTCAATTAAATGAGGAAATTCAACTGTTTTTCAACAAGTAGATTTAAGAGTATTATCTAGAACGTAATTGATCAAAAAATTATTTAAAATACATCTTGAAAAAATAAAATACATACATATTACATTTCTACAGAGAATGTGGATTACAAACTGATCACGTTGGATGTAAAAGCGTCGAAGAACTGATCTTAGAAAATTTTAGTATCCTAATATTTGACGAGATGCACGAATTTTTTAAACTGTCCCAGAATACTTTGAAAAGTTTTATGCTGCAGAAAATTTGTTAACATTGTACTTTTTGAATGACCAAAAAAATTGTTTGATTTGAATTGACAAAATGGAAAAAGTTTTCCGTGTCCAGTGATGGGATGGCTACCATTTTTACACATCTGTACCGTACGAGAAGAGTATTTGACTTCGGGGAAAACAAATAAACTTTGCGGAATTCCCTTATGGTTCGAAGATGACAGTGAAATTACAAAGTAGGTCATTAGTTTGGACGCACGGTAAGGCCACCTCACACTGTCCAAGTTTACACCAATTGCATGCATAAACAACTTTTGGATACCAAAGCGTCAAAGGACTAAAAAATTAATATAAATGTGCGTATAATGCTAACCGTAAACGGAAAGATAAATTTTCCATACTCTTTTTCCATAAATTTTCCATACTATCAGTGATTCTAGCAATCGTGTTATGCCAATACATTCGAAAAGGAAACATAAGTAAATTGTCTCAAGCCATAAATTGGGAGCATTGTATCGACCATACCCTAGAGAAATTTTACAACAAACACAAAATTGTTAGTTGCGCGAGCAGTAAAAACTATTCCACTGAAAAAAAAGGTTACAGCTACAAACGGTAAAAATGACCAAACAACGTGTAAAAATGTCCAAGACGTTGGAATGCCACTATTAAATTGTTTAAGAAAACTACTTTGTTTTTCTCATTAGTCACGATGCTCTGTTTTCCCTCCTCCCTCGCTCGGGTTTTCACTACTTTGGCTGTCCATGTCGTCCCCGTCGTCGTCATCGTTACGTGCGCGCATGTATACGTGCAGGAAAACTCGACGCTCTCCCATATAAAGCGCCCGGCCGCTTAATCCACACACCAGTAGATTCACCTCGTCCGAACGACGTACGCCTTTACTTGTACTATTTTATGTGCTTGCCGGTACGCGTCTCCATTTTTTTTTTTTTTTTTTCTTTTACATCGAACGAGTGAGATAACAGATTAGCAATCAACAACAATATAATCCGAGTAGAACAATATTTTTTTGTTATTTTGTGCAGTACTTCGTACCCACGCGCGAACCACAAATCTCGTTCGTGCGCTGCGGTCAACAGTTGTTACAAGTGACAAGGAATACAAGTGTGCTGGGGTTACTTAAAAGTTACGACCTTACAAGAAAGTTATTTTAAAACTCCCGTCCAAGCGGTCAAACTAAATTTCGCTAGAGTAAGTATGAAAAAAAAAAAAAAAAGTTTCCCCACGCGTAACTTTTAAAAGTTATTGGTTTAACTTTGTGCGCGCGTAGGGGCGGTTAACGCGATTATTGTCGGTGATATTTTTTTGTCAGTTGAACGACGAGTAATTTGTAAATGCTAAGTGATCGATAATTCGTGAGCTTGACTGTGTAGATGCGAGAGCTTTTAAAGAAATAAACGCGATTGTCCATTATAATATCAAGTAGTCGAACTCGATCATTGGTCAGACGAGTCGAGTGAGCGAACGAGTGTTTGAGATTCGTATGTGCGATGATACGTGCACTGCGTAAATAATTGTGGTATGCACGTACGAGGAAAACAATTTGAATAATAAATAATGTGAATTAGTTTAATATATCGATATAATGCGAAAAAGAGGTTTTTTGTGTGTTTAAAATTAAAAAAAAAAAATCTTTTCAACATCGTGAAAACTTTTTTAAATATTCGACAAGTTAAAAATTACGCACATCTTGAAATAAAAAGTTTTGCTCTTTCACTGTTTAAACAATTACACGTACTTTTTAACCATGGAATGTCAAAAAAAAGTTTAACTATAATTCTATCATTTATTGAAAAGTTATTTCAAATGTAAATTATTAGAAATAATCAGTTAAGGTTATAATTTAATCATTAATTTTAATAAATAATAATTAATTTTAAAAATAATAAGAAGACATTTTTCCACCGTACAAAGTACTTCTTCTATAATACATATCTCTCTTAATTACAAGATTTTGTTAATTATTTTTAAAAGATGATTTTTACATAAAACCATGTTAAATCAGTGGGTTTTTTTGATTGTCGATTCCTGCAGAAATTAATTTACTGCTTGATTCATAAAGTATTATTTTTTACCAATTATTCGACAAAAAAATGTACATTAATTTTCACTTCTATTTATTTAAATGATTAAATTCTAAACGTGAGGTCGTACCATTTTTTTTTCTTTTTATCATTGAACATTTCAATATAACTTTCTAATACTCAAATACAAAAGTTTTAAACATTTATAAATATATAAATTTCTAAAAATCTAAATATAAAAATGTTCATGCGAGTTTCAATAGTAAGCATGATTTTTTTCCCAGACTGTAATTCTAAAATTTTCGAATTTAGCAAATCAATTATATTACCTAATTAGTGTCTCTTGTACAAAGCTGATGGTCTAAAAATTTTTCAAAGTATATTATACAGGATAATCCTATTCACTCCAAATGTAATATAAGTAAATATACTTGCAGTCTTTCTAACGTGGAGCGCAACAAGAACAAAAAATAAAAAAAAGGACAAGATTGTCGCACACTGCAAGCGATTCACGAACGATAATGACAAACTCTAAAGTAAAATTACTTCCAGAACAGAGTATACTGACTAATTCACACACAGCACATATATATCTACACGGCGTACGTCCACACATGGACTATCGAGAGCTCGAGCTTTTAGCCATAAACTTTCACATGCACGCGGGAATTCCCTTGCGAGTCCTCCTCTACCTCGCAATCTCATCAGCTCTTATTTCTGTACTTGCGCACACATATATGTGTGTACACTCATACGCGTATAACGAGGGCACGTTAGTTACAACTGCTGTTGCGTCAATGTCGACGCAAGGCTGCATCAGGTGCGTGTGCCAGCCGTGTTCAACGCTCTAATAGCATTTTTTCCGAATGTCCACACGCTTCCCTTGCAACTCATGGGTTTTCTGCAGCAATTGGAATCTGATTTGCACATTGTCGTGACGTTAGTTTATACTCTTCTCTACCAATAACAATTACAATGAAATGGAAATGTAACGCCAAAGGACAAAATTAAAGACTTTGGTTTAAAATTATTAATTAATCTGCATAATCCTATATAAATCTTCCTCATAACGCAACTTTTTTGAATGTCCAACTTTTCAATACCTAATCTAACTTTTTAACAGTGCGAAAGGTAAAATAAAGATTTTTAATCACGAAAGGTATTGATTTTTGTTTTACAAATTATTTATTCATACGAATTCAATTTAACCATAATATTTAGCTCCACGTCTGTTAAAAAAACCTTTAATGTTACAAAATAATAACATCCAGTAAAATTCAAATAGACTGTTAATGATTTTTATTCGTCAGCATTGCTCAGTGGCTCAGTGTAAATGAAAAATAATTTGGTACTCGTCATTTATTATTATTGTTTTTTCAAGAGTATTTTTAAATCACATCATTTTTATGGGCCCTACTAACGACAGTTCAAACAATTTTCGAAAATAATTTAATCCAAATAGTTAATTTAACTTGGACACGAGTGTACAAAAAATAAAAGTTTTATTGTTTCAATAGTAGTGGAGGCTTTACATTTGACGTCTTAATGAATAATATAATCGTTCTCAGTTTTGAGAGAAAATAATATAATTTTCTACTATTTTTAATTTTTGTTACGATTTAGAGTTTTTATTTTACAACGAAGACAATCACTACATTATTATTGCAGATGCGTTACATTCTGTTATTCTGTGTCACCGTATTAAACATCGGAACTTTAAAGACAGAGTTGATAGACTATTCGCCAAAAAACAACGTCAGGATGATTGGCTCGATGCTCCCGAAGTTCTTGAAAATACGTACGGAAAGTAAAGAACGCGAAGGAAGGGACGATCAGCAAAAGTGGAACTTTCAGCCGAATGATCCGAGGTTTCGAAAAATTCAGTATCTCAACAGTGACAGTGCCTATGGAAACCAAGAAAGAGGTAACGCATACGTCCACCTATAGCTATCTATCATTTTTGTCGAGTTTCGTTATACCCTCTTATACACATCTCTCGCTGAATCGGCCGATTGGTTTTAAATGAAAAAGCTTGATGACAATTGAGCAAACAAACGAGCACATGCAACAGCTCCAATTTACTTTGGAATGATCTTCTATTAAAGACCAATAAACTGCTTTATCACCTTGAATAGCTGAAACACGAGATTAACCTTGTGGATTCAATTAATTTAGAAAATAATTATAATTACAAACGAGAATTATAATTTATTCTTACGTATACATTTTTAAAAATATTTCTATTCATTCACACTTATAAATATGATTTTAACAAATTTTTTTTTTTTTTTTGAATCATCATAGTTGAATAAATAAAAAAATTATGAGTGGAAAGTAGTGTTGTCTCGTTAAGGTGGTCTTGTGAGAAGAAATTTATTTATTTGGAAATAATAAGTCAAGTTAGCTGTTTGTAACGTAAATATTGTACAATAGAAAGAAAAAAAAGAATTTTTGAAAATCCGTTTCGTTCATTGAACGATATATCAATTGGAATCGGCGTAAAGAGGTTTTATCAAGCAACTTGAACCATTTTTGCACAAATTCGCATAAAAAGTGTAGTTTGCGTAACATCGAAAGTTAATCATCCGTAATTCGCCCATCATGTGAATAAATAAAATTGTGCTCGATTCAACACGTTTTTTTGTACCTCCACACACGTAACAACACAGACTTCGCAGAGGCCGACTACTTGCCGATCGACCAACTGGACGACACGCAATTGACGGAGCTGTCGATCGACCTGCTACGATCCCTGTATCTCCCGGCGGCTTCCCAAGCCCCTCCTCTAATCGCTGTGAAGGCCGATCGTGATGACTCGATGGAAGACGGGCCGTTTTCGGTGGAATACAACCGCCGGCGAAATGTCTCGAAGAGGGCCCGGCTCTACATGAAGTTCCCGTTCAAAAGACAACACTCCAGGTAATATACGTACAACTCACGACAGCTCCTCAAACGTACGCTTGTAAATCGGCACTTTGTCCAACTGTTTTGCAGAATTTACACCAGTCCCGACTTTGACATCATATGTAGCCCATCGAGGAACGAAATCGTCAAACTCCTGTCGGTCTTGCACAACACGCGGAACGGCAACAAGGTGTTTGTCGATTTTTGCAGTCGGCGGAGGCCCACGAATGCTGTGTACACGAATATTCGATTTCTCGGACGAAGGAGAAGGTAAACGATTTGCGCACGAGAACGATATTTTTTTTTAAGCACTGTCTCGGGAAACTGAGATTTTTTTTTTTTTAGTGTTTACAAAACCTTCACGAACTTTTGAATCTCTTGGGCAAAAAAAAATTACCATCTTTTTTTGTTTCTTCAATGCTAAATATATAAGATAATAAATTTATTCGTTTACTTAATTTTTATTAACTTTATTCATCAAAGGATAAAACTATAAATAAATAAAAAAATTTAAAAAAATTCACCACGTCTTTGTACTAAATCTTTCTGTCTTTGACTGTACATATACTCATTAAAGTAGCTTAACGTAGTTGAATATCGAAGTTAAAGAATTTTTTTGAAATAACGTCAATTCGATGTATTATTATTCGAATCCCAATGTTACCCAATAATTCAATATGTGCCAAAAGCGAAAAGCATCATAATAATGGAAAATAAAAGAATCTATCGTTTTCAAAGCCAAACTTTTATTGTCAACCCATCTACGATGTGTATCATATTAAACATGTATAGAAATAATAATAATAATAATGATAATGATTAAACAAAAAAAAAACATTTATTTGAGATTACCAGACACTTTACTCGAGCAAACGAAACATTGCGAAACGTCTCGAGCAAGTATTTCGTCACGACTCGACAAAAACAAAGAAAAAAGAATAGGTCCAGCGTGCAACTTTGAAGAAAGACTCGCTCCTCAGTTTGCGCACGGCTGTTGCGAGAAAACGATGTTGAAAGCACTTCCGGCCTCCCGCGAGTCGGAGACGAAGCGAATGTCCACGGCACCCATTTGCCTCAGATCGAATACCCCTGCAAACAATAAAATCTCGTACACACGTGCAAATCGCATTTGACTCGGGATACACCTCGGAGAGACACACTCACGCTTCTGGTTGTTCAGCGAGCTCCCGCAGTACCGCTTGTCCTCGTTGCTGAATGACAAGTACTCTCTCTCGCACCCCTGGCTCGATTCCTCTTCCAGCCCAAAGTCTTCCAAACGAACTTCCAGCTTGCAAGCGCCGCCAGCCCCGTTAAATCTAGAAGAAAGAAAAAAAGAAAAATATCGCGTCTCCAACATTACCTTACATGTACATCTTGTGCAAAGGTGCTCACCTCCAGCATTTGTCGATCCCAGCGTTGTGGCGCTCGGGTGACCTTAACGATCCTCCACTAGCCGCGACTTCCTCGCAGCCACCCGAGTCCGAGCGGTCGCTGGCCGACCTGTAGATCCCAAACCTCTCGCACCTGGCGCTCCTCAGGGCGGCCTCCTTGGACGCCACGACCCAGTCGAGCAGCACGCGGCTTTGACAGTTGCCCCCGAACAACCGATCCCGGGGCTGATACCCGACCGCGGTGATCACGTCGGCCTCGCCGCTATCCTCGAAGCTTACGCTCGGCTTTGGGTAATAATAGCCAAGGTCCCTCTTGGCCCGCGGTCCCACGGTGGATGAGTTGGACGGTGAGGCAACGGCCTCCAGATCCTGTCGGCGTCGCAGGTACGGCGAGTAAATCGGGTTGGTCGGGTCGTAGGGTTGGACACCGGTGCACGGGTAGCCCGAGTTTGCGCAAGGGTAGGAGGAGCGGGTGGGGTAGTAGCCGGAGCTGTATCCGCATGACTCTTGGACGACGTCGACGAGGAAGCCGGCAAAGTTGTTTCTCGGGTAGCCCCGAAAGGTGACGGAGAGCTGCTTGGCGTAGGGCTCGGCGAACGGGAGCTGCAGGGTTTGGCCGGTCCTGCAGCCGCACAGGTGCCTACCGTCGATCTCCAGGTGGCCGTGGCTACAGTAAAGCCCGGAGTCGGCTCCAAAGTTGAAGTACCGAAGGTTCAGGCGCAGCCGGCAGACGTCGGGCGAGGCTTTGGCGATGGTGTAGCGACAGGCGTAGGTATTCGAGACGCTCCCGGGAAAGCCGGGACTGGAGAGGAGGAAGCGCCGACTGGCCGTCGGTAACCTGCAACACTCGCCGCTCCGCGAGCCGAGGTAGCCCCCAGGGCTGTTCCAAGGGTTGTACGGGTTGAAGGTGGACTGATACGGGTTGTAGGTGTTGAGGCTCTGGTAGCTGGTGGGATAGCCAAGGTAGTTGTAGCCCGATTGCTGCTGGTAGAGGCCCCGGTGCGGGTCATAGATGAGATTCGCGGTCGAGCCCAGCCTGCTGGCGTCCTGCGGGTAGTAGTTGTTGCGGAGATTGGCGCTCTCGGCGTTGTACTCGACCGGTTGCCCTTGAGGGTCCCCGCCTTTGTCGCAACTCGCGGGTCCAAGTTGCGGGTCGAAGAGGGACTCGGTGTGCAGGCCCCTCGTCGAGCTCTTGTCCCAGGACACGAGGTGCTCCGAGGGCCGGAAGGCGACCGCCTCGAGACTCGGGGGCCGCAGCTCCATCGGGAGCGACGTCGACGCTTCATCCAAAAGATCGGTATGGTTTTGCCTCTCGGTTGGAGGCAAAAACAAGTACGGGGTTATCCGGATCTGATCCTGCGACCCATGGGCTTCCGAGGACAGCGCACCCACGTCGTTTGCGCTGGAATATCGTGCAAGAAGGTCGAACATGTAAAGAGAGAGAGAGAGAGAGAGAGAGTTCGTAAATACTCACTGGTTTCTGGGTCGGGTGCTGAGCTTCAACGAGCAGGGAATGGCCATGACGAGTATTTTGAAGCCCCTGGCGGGGCCCTTTGTGGCGCCCGAGTGAAATCGGATGGTCAGGCTGTTGTTTTTCGCGCCAGTGAAGCTGCGAAGTCCGGTGACGGCGCCGCAAAAGACGCTTCGATCGCCGACTCGCACATAATCGTCCCTGCAATCGTCCGAGGGCCGGACGTCAAAGTCCTGGAACTGCAGGTGAAAGTCCTGCTCGCAATCGGTCGATTGGTCGGCTTGCAGGTGGTACGTGCACTCCAGGCTCTCGGGGTAGCCGCGCGGGTAGTTTGGACTGGCGATCGTGTATTGAAAACCGCGATAGGTACCGCCGCAGGTCTGCGATTTTACCGCCGGTGCGAGGAAACACGACAGTAGTAGTAGAAGTGAGCGGAGCTGCATCATTTTTTCTTGTTTTCTCGTTTTCTTTTTTTTTTTTTTTTTTTTATTTTTTTTTTTTTTTTTTTTTTTAAATAAGTGAAAAACTGTACAAGTTTGACTGAACCGAGCAGAGCATCTCTCGGCGCGTGACTTATGTATAATAAGGTCCCTAAAGCAGGCAGGGGGTACGTGGCAGGTGAGCTCGAGGTACGTAACTGGCGAGGCGAGCGCGCCGGGGGTCCCTCTTATGACGCGCGAATGTTTGGCTTGGCCAAATATTTCGAGGTTTTCACTTCGCGTGTGGGTACAAGTACAATAATACATTGTATACACGTGCGGCTGGTATGCGGCGCGATTTGTTTGAACGAGAGTGTGCGACCGAGGCGCGCGAAACGTAGTGGGCTGCGCCCATCAATTGCGGAGGATGTGTGTCTAGAAATCAATCGCGTTTGGAAAAACAAAGCCCCCGTCCCATCTCGCGCCGTGCGAATCTCTTATCTGCGGTTTCGTGCCCCCAAAAGTAGGTAACACTCGTAATAATGGGTGTAATGTGCGACAATACGTATACGACGCTTTCGTTTGTCGTCTCTTTTGTTTTCGAGAATAAACGGTAAACGTCATTTGGTTTTTTTTTTTTGCTTTTTTTTCTTTTCTTTTCTGTTATTACTATGGATTATTTTCGTGTTATAGCATTGATCAACAGGTATAAAGTGCAAGAAAAGAACAGCTTGCTTGGTTGCTTGAACGAGAGATGAACGTATATATATTTATATGTAACGTATTTTTTTTTTTTTTTTTCTTCAATTTTTNTACTATTATTTTTTGATTTTATAACTACAAAATGAGTTGCGGCTGGTTTATAATTAGCCAAATGGCTCTAAGCGCTAATGCTGTGGGTCAAAAGTTTAGGGCCACTTTTTAGCTCAGAAATCCGCAACGCTAGATGGCGCTGATCCAAATAATTATTACTATATATATTTATATGTAACGTATTTTTTTTTTTTTTTTCTTCAATTTTTTACCGTAAAATAGATATTCAAAGTAAAAGTGTAGATGAAACTATAAATGGGTGTCTGATATTTTTTACTTTGGAAAAAAATAAAACAAAATAATGGATCATGGTGCACTTTGGTTAAATATTTCTTGTAATTGCAAGTGATTTTGTCACTCATTTATGTTGATTGTTTACTTTAACAATTTCACTCAATGATACTTAAAAAGTTGTCAAAATTTACGATCGGTTGTTCAAAGGTTTCTTAAACATCAGTCGTTGGCTTTGTTTAGCAAAAACTCTTGACGAATGAAAGCGAAGCCGTAGCAAGTAAAGAAACGTAGAAAGCGCCAAACGATATATACTGATGTATAAAAAGATCGGATGCAGACAATATGACGCATCCACGCTTGCCCGAGTAAACGCGAGTGATGAAATTTTAACTTTCTACGGAGATAAAAAGGAATCGCGGAAAAAGATCTTTTTTTTCTTCTTCTTCTTCTTCTTCTTCTTTTTTTCTGAAAAATAAGTGCCGTTATACACGACTACGCACGGCACACGAGCACAATACATAATAGTACCTTTATACGTCATATTGTGATACACGGCATGAAAGCAGTGGGAAATAATGACGGAAGCAAAAAGTCGCACCTTTTTTTCTACACACGTGAGCAACGAACCAACGAATAAACGAATGAATGAAAGTCGGATAAGAGCACGTATTATTTATCATATGCGTATGGATGCCCGCCCGATGAATAAGCAGTTTCGAATTTTGCCCATGGCGATAAGAGGCTGGTGCATCGTGCTTTATTTGTTTTTTTTTTTTTTTTCTCTTCTCCAACTATACGTATAATATGCCGAGGACGGGGGTGAGAATATTTGTCTTTTTAGATTATATCGGAGCTTTACGTTGTTACTTTTGTCAATTGACTGATTAAGGCACTCTTAATTATATGTACTGCTGGCTTGATATTCGCAATATATAATGGCCCTTTCAATTTTGAGCCCTTAAAAGGTAAGCGACAAAATAATAAATGGCCCATATGTTCGAGCTCCAAACGAGCAACAAATTTTCTCGCCGTTAAATGTGTTTTAGGTCGTTTTGAAGTCGAGATACGTTATAATATTTATATATGTGCTGCTTGCCTGATTGTCATAACTCAGTTTTGTAAATAGCATGAAATTTCGTTTTTGCTAGACAAAATAACAACGAATGAACTGTAAATTTAGAACTAGGAGTACCTTAGTTATTGTTACTTGGTGCCGCTAGCTTGATATACGTCACTCTTAGTATTGCGTACTTATTAAATGCGCATATAATAATGGGTGTACAGAGTGACGTAAAAAAATACAATCATGGGTGTACACTGGGTGTAATAGCGTACATATTTACGGACTCTGAGTACCTACAGCTTGACGACGTATTAATAATATCATACATATATGTATACTTATATGTTTATGGATGTACCTATATAAAGCAAAGAGCATGTAATTATAAATTTTCAATACTGATTGTGAGTGTAAGTTTATAAGTGGGTGTAGGTACTTACCTATATTGTTGTTGCATATTATACCTACGTACGACGAACAGAATGGACAAAATACAACGCATGACGGTATACATGACATATTTAGTTAGTATAGGTATATACATATATAGGTACACCAGTATGCCAAGTGTATAGGTATAACGTAGATCTAACATTATGGTCAGTGTGAAACTGTTAACAGCATAGTGAATAACCAAGTGTCAAGTTTTTGCTAGCAATCTCTAATGTTTACGTTTGCACAAAGATAAGCCAAGAAGAGAGAGAGAGCGAGAGTACCTATATAAATCAACTGATAAGTACTTTTGTTTGTGCATTTAACACCCCCATAATTGCTGCTTATAATACACATGTAGGTGGTATGTGTATGTGGTTAATTGTTAATGGCTTGATCTGCAACCTGGAAATCCTGTAGGTATACTTTTACGAGAGAATGTTTTGAAATTGCACAAGATAAATATCTCGCATAGGACGGGAGGAAACGAGAGTGTGCCTCCAAGACTGCTGCAGGCAATAAAATGTTCGAGCCCACGGAACAGGGGAAGGTAATTTTCAGATCAGTGTTTCTTGTCATGTGCGTCTTCTTTTTGTCTCACACTTAACAACAAGTAGGTAGTTGGTTATCGAGAGAGCGTTGTATCAATTAAGTAGTTTTGTTCGTCCGACTCTGTTTTCGTTGTGTGTTACAAGTATGTCGTACATACATACATTGGATGACACACAACAACAAAGCCTTTGACAGATAGCCCATTGTAGTTTTTGACACGGTGTTTGCTGATATTTCGTCATGTACATTTGAATTTTTTTCTTCAACTTTAATGCTTATCGTTACTTCTGCTTACGTCCTTTTAGGTAATTCGAGAACTTAACTTATTTTAAGGTTATATTATTTTAATTTATGAGCGTGACGCATCCCTTGCGTCTGTAGCGCGGCTTGATACATTAATAAGGTAAATTCAGTTTACGAAAACAACAAACACAAATCTACGTTACAGTGTAGATGAACTTGTACGAAATGCAATAAAAAATTGAGATATCAATTCTCGGGATATTTACAGGATCTCTGTATCCACACCGGGGTCGTTTTGCGAGGAGCTAACACAAGAGAAGATGAAGTTCACAGCTCTGGAAGCCTCAATATTGTCGAATACGTAATTAATTTTTTTTTACCAGTACAAGTTTTTTTTTTTCCAAATAAATAAATCTTATTTAATTAATTCAGAGTTTTGGAAAATGCATCGAGTGGAAGCCAACCGAAGTGTCAGTTGTATCAGAGAGCCAAGATCAAGATCCCGAGTGGTCACTTGTCAACACACATACTAGAAGAACAAGATCATCGTCGGAAGGTCCAGATTCTCTTGGACGCAGAACAGTTAGAATATTATTTTCAGAACTGAAGTCACTTCGTGTGCACCAAGGTGGCCAACAGTTGATATTCATGCAAAATGATGGCACGACTTACGTGGCCTTTTTTCAGTTGTTGAATGCTGAAAGCTTTTTCAATTCTTTACAAGGTTTTTTAAAATTCGTCAGATCCAAGCAAGACAAATATCTTTATCTTGTTCTCGATGAGGTGAGTTCAGTACTAAACAAATCTTTTGCGGAATTAGATATTTTACAAGAACACACCTCGGATTATGTGTGGAAATTCGTGAAAAATCTACACAATCATCCCTACGAAACGACAATGGAAGCCTTTAGCAAATTAGCTGATGTATGGTGTTAGTACTTTTACTACATTCTTCTTCTTACCTTGGTAACAATCATAAGAAAATACTTACTTAATTTATTTGATGATTGCAGTATATAAAGAACCTGTAAAGCGCCCAGTAGAAGAAGCAGTAGCTGATCTTCTAAGTCGGTCCCTAACAGGGAATGTTCCGCAACCACCAGTTGGTTCCATTGGTTCTGGTGAAGAATATGAAGTGATCGATGAGCCAGGTTTAGGAATATTGTTACCTCCAAGGCCTCCTTGTTCAAGAGGTATTTTTAAATTTCCGTTAATTTTGCTATAAAGAATTATTACAGAAATTCAAGAACTTAACTATAAATAAATGGAATGACATTTTTAATAACTATGATAAGTTTATTGATATTTTTTGATGTGTCAGGGCCACCTCTTAATCAAATACAGTGGGATCAGTTCAAAGATGCAGAGGGTAGAGTTAAGAATCATGAAAAAGTAAAAGAAATCATATTTCGTGGGGTAAGTTGGCCAATAAAATTTATTGTCTTTGTAAACAACTGTTTAATTTTTTACTTTATAAAACACGAAATCAATTTTTCCTATCTAGGGTATTTCTCCTTCGTTGCGTTACGAAGTTTGGAAGTTTTTACTCAAATACTATCCATGGGAATCAACAAACGCAGAAAGAGTTGAATTAAAAAAAGCAAAGACAAACGAATATTACACAATGAAATTACAATGGAAATCAATGACACCAGATCAAGAAAATAGATTTTCAGATTATCGTGATAGAAAAAGTTTAATTGGTAATAATTTTTTAAACCTTTGCAGTTCAACTACATATGTTACCGCAAGCAATAATGTAACACACAGCCTTTATATTTCAATGTTTCAGAAAAAGATGTAAACAGAACTGACAGAACACATGCTTATTATTCGGGAGAAGATAACCCTCATTTGACGCAGTTGTATGATATTTTAATGACATACGTTATGTTCAACTTTGATTTGGGATATGTACAAGGGATGAGTGACTTATTGAGTCCAATATTGTGTCTAATGGATAATGAAGTTGATGCCTTTTGGTGTTTTGTAGGCTTTATGGATAAAGTGGTGAGTAGTTTTACAAACATTATTACTAAGAAAAATGACAGCGCAACGTTAGAAATTACAAAAAAATTTTATTTTTAGAGCACTAATTTCGAGATGGACCAAGCTGGTATGAAAGGTCAACTTTGTCAACTTTACAGTCTTCTTAAAGTTACGGAACCTCAGCTAGCACAATACCTTGATAGACATGAATCAGGAAACATGTTTTTCTGTTTCCGATGGCTCTTGGTATTATTCAAAAGAGAATTTAATACAGTTGACATTATGAAACTATGGGAGATACTTTGGACTGATTTTCTTTGCAAAAACTTTCATTTGTTATTTTGTGCAGCAATCTTAGAGACAGAAAAAGCGACTCTTATGGAAAATCGTTATGGTTTTACTGAAATTTTAAAAGTAATGAATATGTCTTTTTACACCCATTTTGCATTGAACTTTATGCCCAGCTAATTGTCTAATTTATTTATTTGCAGCACATTAATGATCTATCCCTGCATATTGAATTACCTTGGACATTATCAAAGGCTGAAGGTATTTATCATCAATTAAAGGCTGCAGAGCCAGAACTTCCTGACAACGTACGTCTAATCATAGGGCTAGAACCAAAAAATAAAATTAATGATCAATTAGATTTAAACAATGAAACAGCGAATACTAATGGAGATAGTGCTCCTTCGAATAGTTACGCCGACGAAAGTGTTAATGTTAAATTTGGAAAAAATGAAGTTTCTTTTGAACGTAGTATAAATTTATCTTACTTATGAAACTTTTAATTGCTAATGTAACGTATTTATATGCATATATCGGTTATAAAATTGTATTTATTTTAATTCTATGATAATAGAATCTTTATCGTTATCTGATTCTGTAATCTGTCATTTCAAAATTACATCATCTAAGTATTTGCAGAAAAGCAGCGACTTCAGAGTCATGTTTATGGTACCTAATTTAGTAACATTGGAATTTAATAAACGTGCAAAAGTCATTAAATATTTTTACGATACATTTTACAGTACATACATATGTATATTTCTGCAAACTAATTTTTTTACGGATAAACTCGATAATTATTGTCTGAAAACAGAGAATCGTTCAGGAAAATTATGGTACTATTGAATTTATTATGGGTGATACATCAGCACAATATAGATAATTATGTTAATTTATCATGTTAAGTATAATTATTTTTAATTGAAACCTTATAAATATACAAATCAAAATAATGTACATTAATATGAATGAAGTAAAAAAAAAATTTTGGAATCAATGTAGTGCAGAGTAAAAATTTAAGTCTGATTTGTGTTACAAAATAAACTTTTTTAGATTTATATGAAGTAAAAAGTGTATATTTCTTATAAGAGTTACGTATTTAATAAATAAAATTTATTATAACATATGAGTAATTTTTTGTTGGATGATTTCTTATACAGTCCTGCCGTAAGTCTTTTTACTATCTGCTTGACATGTCAAGGTAATTGCCATACCTAATACCCACATGTCTATATAGTAGCTGGCAAAGTACAGTTATCCGAGTTATCGCAGGAATGATAACCTAATATTTCATAACGATATATTTTACAGTAACTTATAGTTAGGTTACGTAGGTTACGCTTGCAGGGAAAAACTACACTATATTTTAGGTTTTTCCGCCAGAAGTTAATCACTGTACGTATTTAGTAGCTAGAGAAAATTGTATTGCGTGCTTCGATTTAACGCAACCGGGTCCGTACCATATAACTTTTCTTCGCTTTTCTTCATAGATTTATATGGTACGGCTCCAGGTCAACCGCTAGCGTCAACCCTGTACTACTTAACTGTCGGTGGATTCCGCGTCAACAAACTTCGATATTTTTTGTTGTTTTCTGATTTTATCATTTTGGTAAAAGAAGAGCACAGTGTAACATATACGTCAAGTTATGTGTAGTAATTAAGTATAGTAATCACTTCTAAGAGTTCTAAGTTCTAAGTAGTGCCACTGCCACATGGTCGATTTTATTAAACCATACAAGTAGAATATTTATACTTTAGGAGGTGAATTTTAGGGTAAAAGATAACTTGTAAAGTTGCCGCAAACAGCACAGACAACATCAACTTTTTATTTCCTATCTATTAAATTAGTTGCGGCTGGTTTATAATTGACTAAATGGCTCTACTATAAAAAATATAGCAATAGTCATTTGGATCAGCGCCATCTAGCGTTGGGGATTTCTGAACTAAAAAGTGGCCCTAAACTTTTGACCCACAGTATTAGCGCTTAGAGCTATTTAACCAATTATAAACCAGCCGCAACTTATCTTGTAGCTACAAAATGAAAAAATAACGATACATGTGTTTTTGGCGGCAAGTTAATAATCTATCTTTTACTCAAAAATTTATCTTCAAAAGTATAAATACATAGGAGGTCAATTTTTTGGTAAAAAATAAACTGTTAACTTGCCGCCAAAAACACACGTATCGTTATTTTTTCATTTTATAGCTACAAGATAAGTTGCGGCTGGTTTATAATTGACTAAATGGCTCTAAGCGCTAATGCTGTGGGTCAAAAGTTTAGGGCCACTTTTTAGTTCAAAAATCCCTAACGCTAGATGGCGCTGATCCAAATAATTATTACTATAACTTATAGTAGAGCCATTTAGTCAGTTATAAACCAGCCGCAACTTATTTAGTAGATTTTAAATAAAAAGTTGACATTCTCTGTGCTATTTGCGGCAATTATTACACATAATTTTACGAATATCTTACATCGTGCTCTCTTTACCAGAATGATAAAATCAGAGGCTATATTCCGCAAATGCTGCTAAGTAGCCGTTATAGTTATAGTATAGGTCGAATCGAGATCCAGAATCATCTCGTGTGATCTCATCGACGGTGACGTCAAGGTGATGTCTTTCTACTGTCAATACAGCTGGGCCGATATTTTTGTTGCTGTACCGACGGTTGACTGACTCGCTCTGCATGACTACATGCAGGTCTCTCTCTCTTATCTCATGTAGATGAGCAGCAGGATTTTTTACGCTAGATGGCACTAGATCCAAATACAATATTGCGCGCGCGCGAAGAACTGCGAGCCAGCCGGCCAACCGTCGGTACTGCACAACTTTTTAATAAATTCTCCGCTAGGCAGCACCAATGGCGTTTTATCAAAATTTTAATTTTTTTTATTATTTAGTAATCAGTAAGAAGAGAAACACAAAAAATTGTCAAGTGAAGCTGTAAATATTTTTTTGAAGTGCAAATTTGTACTATCATGTACATAGGTACATATAGAATTTTAAGATCATAAAATTTTTAGGCATTGTCAAGTGAAATTTCAATCTTGTAACGAAACCATCATTTGAAAAAAAACCATTTGTATGATAGAACTGGTTTTATTCCGAAGTTATGGATTCAATAAACAACAATAATCGTTGAATCCTCTAACGAATTTTCGTTTTGCCAATTCAAATGGAATTTATTAACTGTGGCAAACGAAACAGAAAACGCAGACGTAAACGTCGTCTCAATAGTAAGCAATCCCACCAAAAATTTGAGGTTAAATCTGAGAAACGGCAAAAAATAAGTAAAAACTCCAAGCATTACAGTACTTACGCGACAAAAGAAAAATTAAAAAACAATACAATGGATGCTAATGCTTTTTGGGAGAATTATAGTGCAGCCCACGAATGGCAAAAGAGGTGAGATCTTCTAGTTCAATACATGTTTAATATGATAAATATACTAACTACAAACTAGCAAATTATGTGATTGTTGAGTGTATTATTTGTAGACACAACGTAACTTGGTGGAAAACACGATGCTATGCTTTAGAACATGAAAATCGTGTATTGAAAGAAACTATAAGAAATTTGATGCAAAGTTCAAACTCTAAAAGCCATTCTGTGTTTGAAACAAACCAGCATGAACAGTTTCATGAAGATAATTTGGATGAGGAAGAAGAAACTTGTACAGATGAAAATTTAGAATTTCACGTGAATGAAGATATGATGACCTTTTTAACTCAAAGTATTAGACATAAGATAGAATTAAAAACTCAGAAAGAAAGTGAACTATCGGATCAAGAATCTAAAGATGATGATCAGCAAGCAGAAGAAAATATCTTCGAAAAAACTCGCAAGAGAAGTGAAATAGCTAAACTAATGTATGGTGAAGCAAGTACAAAGATTTTAGCTATGGAAGCAGCTCTTCAAGCTACACTTGATAGGCATATGGAAAAATCAAAACCACAATATTGGCCCAATATACCGTTAAAACTATAAAAATTTCATGCATCTCAACAAATACTTAAATCTTTTATCAACTAAAAATGTAATATTTTTGTAATTAAAACTTTGAATCGTTACAGTATTTTTCAACATTCTTTTAATTTTCGTATCCTTGAATATTACAACGTTGGTAAAAATAAAATAAAATTTTTCTCAACATATAATAACAATAAACAGCAATCAAGGGGCACATAGGTCTAATGAGGTGGCTCTAGGTTTATTCGCACAATAGATAGTGTTGTTCCAAACTGACTAACTTTGAAGACTTACTCTTTGTTGCGCTGTTAGTTATGAAAATACATTTTTTATAAACTTACAGTTGTGTGATGAAATTCTATAATCAATGATACGAAACTTAATCAAGTGAAAAAAGTAATATAAACTGAAGATAGTACATATATAAATAGTTAAAATAATAAAATATGAACAATGTATATACGTATATACGTCGTATGGAATACTTTACCTCTTTTGTTGGTCTAGAATTAATTTTTTGCAGAACTCTATGAGTACTCGGCGACGATAACGTCGATCGAATTTACAAAGAATCAAGTACTTATATATTTTGTAAAATTTTAAATTATCGCTATCCATGCAGTTCGAGGTTCGACTAGTCGATTTGTTTAACTCGAACATCAAATCGAATAGCCAGCGAGATTGTTTGAGTTTATACATGCACTCCAAGTGCATGTGGCATGTGCATGTGCTATTTGCTTTGCTGCCTACGTATATGCCTATACATGACATAAGTGTACAAAAACAAGAATAAAAATTTAAGTCGGTAAAGGAAAGGCTTCCACAGTCGATGCATGTTGGTTTTAGCTACAGGTTATTTATACACTGCAGGAAAAAAAGCCTAGGCGAAGAACAGAGTTTGGTTCGAAGTAACCCAGTAGCCAACCAACAGGTCACAAGTTGACAATAGAAGGAAAACATGGCTACACACTCGAGGTATGTAATGCTTTTTATTATTAATTTGTTCAAACGCATATACGATACCGAAAAGTCGAACACCTGGTAGATTATTGTACATACACATTCGCTCAGTGTCAACAAAGTAAATAAGCATAATCCTCATGTTTCTACTTAGCACCATTGTTTTTATTGTTCCAGTATTTTATGGCGCGTATTCTTTTAATTACTACTTTCATCTCTGTGACATCTGTTCACAAATGTTTACATCTGAGTAATTTGTTTTTTTTTTACTTATTTTTGCTTTTAGTGCGGACAATTTTTTGTTTTTGATCAAATTTTTTTATTACAATGTACATAAATAAGTGTAAGCTTATCAGTTGCCATTTTTTTAAAAGTAAATGTCACAATGATATTGAGTTTAAATAAAACCGGATAACCCATGGATTTTTAATGAAAACTTATGAACATTGTGTTTAAAACTTGTAAAACTCTATTGTAAAATAAAAATAATGTACACTATATTTTTGGTTGTAAACAATGGAGTAAAAAACCGATTTTTCATATTTTTAACTAGTGTCGTTATTTAATGACTTACATTACAATTGTTTGTATTATTGCAGACACGAAACAAACAAAGTTTGCTGCTATTCACATCCAGAAGCTCCATTAATTGAAGATTACAGAGCTGGAGATCAAATTTGTTCGGAATGTGGTCTCGTTGTAGGGGACAGGCAAGTACATATTTTAATAAACAAAAATCTTGTTTTATGCAAATTAATTTCTGATGTTCTAATTTCGATATCAGAGTCATAGACGTAGGATCAGAGTGGAGAACATTTAGTAATGAAAAGGCTGGTGTGGATCCATCTCGTGTTGGTGGTCCTGAAAATCCTTTGTTAAATGGCTCAGATTTATGTACAATAATAGGACCTGGTACTGGAGCTGCCTCTTTTGACAGTTTTGGAGTTGCAAAATATCAAAATCGTAGAACTGTAAGTACGAAAATTAAAAATAACGTTCACAAACTTATCATTTCGTAATCAATATGTATTAAATTCAGATGAGTAGTTCAGACAGAACTTTGACAAATGCCTTTCGTGAAATTAACGCAATGGCAGATCGCATCAATCTTCCAAGAACCATTGTTGATAGGGCAAACAATCTTTTCAAGAAAGTGCATGATGGAAAGAATTTAAAGGGACGTGCAAATGACGCTATTGCCTCAGCTTGTTTATACATTGCATGCCGTCAAGAAGGGGTGCCACGTACATTTAAGGAAATCTGTGCGGTCAGTAAAATTAGCAAGAAAGAAATTGGAAGGTGTTTTAAACTCATTCTCAAAGCTCTCGAAACTAGCGTTGATCTCATCACCACTGGTGATTTCATGTCGAGATTTTGTTCAAATTTGGGCCTACCAAATATGGTACAGAAAGCAGCAACTCACATTGCCAGAAAGGCTGTTGAATTAGACATTGTACCTGGCAGATCGCCCATTTCTGTAACCGCCGCAGCTATTTACATGGCTTCACAGGTAAAATTAGACTCGTATTATTATTTTTTTATAATTATAATGATCGATGAAAACCGTACAGTTTTATAATTGAAATTTTTTATTAGGCTTCTGAAGACAAAAGATCACAAAAAGAAATTGGTGACATTGCTGGTGTTGCAGATGTTACAATAAGACAATCTTATAAATTAATGTTTCCACATGCCGTCAATCTTTTCCCCGAGGATTTCAAATTTGCTACTCCAATAGACCAACTGCCGCAAATGTAGTAGTGATATTTTCGTTTCAATTTTTTTTTTTTTTTCTTTTAATTTTTTAAATAGGTATTACCAAAAAAACTTTAACTATAAAAAAATCATGATCACTTTTACTTGTTTGAAAAATAAGTTATTATTGTACTTTTAAGTAACCCTCATAGGAATAGGGACCTTCCGTTTATTTCATTCGATTTAGTGTTCATTACTTTTTTGTTTTTTTTGTTTTTTTGTTTTTTAAATAATAATTGACATTCCTTAAATTATTAGATTTGACCAAACTTTTACTTCTGTTGAAGGAAACGGCATTCGTTTTCGCATGTATAAAAGAAATGCTTTTTTGAATTCCATTTAGTTACTTTTTCTTTTTTTTATTGTGAGTAAATTCTAAGAACGATTTTTTCCAAATTAGCTAATTATTTTTCAATATTTAATGTTCATAAAAAATGAATGTGATAAGAGACTAAAAATATTAAGCCTGCTAACAGAAGCAGTATTTACCTTAAATAAAAGAAATACAATTATTTTACACATTGCATAGATTTATCGACTTAGTGTGTGTGTATTTTAGTAATATGTGGTAAAGTTTATTAAAAAACATAATAAAGACTATATAAGAGTTGAATTTGTTGTGTTTGATTGAAAAAAAGGTCTGCAAAACCATGCCAATATTCTGTAAGTAGGAAATTATCGAGTGTTCAATAATACTTCAAAATCCGATGATTTCTATGAACATATGGGCAGAGACATGTTTGTAATAGTAAAAACCTCTAAAAATTGGAACGTACATGTACTTCGCATTCGTTAAGTTTAAAAAATAAACCATAAAAATAGTACCAATGATTTTTTGATGTTGTTAATAAAACTGGTAAAATATGTATTTCATCTAGATATTTTTTGTCAACAATGATTTTTTTTTCAATGATATTTTTTTTTTTTAATTAACATCGAGTTTAAAGATGTGCACACAAACCAAAGAAACAAAAGATAAAATAAAAGATCCAATAAAACATGGTTCTTTTGTTCCATGTCCCGTTGATATATCCTTTTTTACGTTTTTTGCTTGAACTTTTATATATTAAAAGAAAAATGGATACAACCAAAATACGAAATTTAATGAAGGCCAAGATAAAAACTTGTTGAATTATTATACATGGTTTCTGCATTACTAAATTCATAAAAAATTCCGCACCGAGAATCCCACGTCACAAAAGAGTCTAAGTCGACTGAAACGAAAGATCAGATAATTATAAGTAATCAAACTTTCTCATTCTGCTCATTCAACAACGATTCAACGTTCGACGCCCGTTCCATTATATGTCATGTGTGTGTTTTCTAAAGGGAGAGGTACCCTATAGGCGTATATCTATATACATGCTCACGTATGGTTCACACATATTTACAATACAAAAGCACAGAGAGGGGCATCATCAGCCATCAGATCAGCTGCGTGTGCCGTGTGTGCGATCGTGTGCGCTCCTGCGTTTCTCAGAGTCTGTCTCTGTCTGTTGTGCAAACATTAAATTCCGGAGCAGGAGCAGTGAGTCTATTCAAGATCACAAGTCGACCACCCATCTCATCTGCACCCTGCAGTTGCCTTGCTCCAGAAACAGACTCCAGCGTCTAAACTAGTAACATCTATACACAGACGAGCAACAGAGAGGAAAGGAAACCGAGAATTTGTGAGCAGTAGTAGCTTGTAGAGGCAGTAGAGCAGCGAGCTCCTCGAGGCCGCCATATTGTGAGCGAGCAAGAGAGGAGTGTTTGTTTTGGTGTTGAAACAACCAGGCCAACATCTACTACGCGGTTACGAGCTAGCGTAGAATCCTAGTGTCGCAAACCCCGTAGCCGAGCCGTACGTGAGTCACTCCAGCTGCCTCGCATAAACGCTCAGAGGCGTGCTTTTCCAACCACCCCGCCCTCTCTCTCGAGGAGGAGACGATTAGTGTATTTATATATTCTACCTTTACCTCAACATATTCGCTCGCGTGTGTGTGTGTGTGTGTGGACGGTGTCCGACGAACAGCATCAACAGGAGCAGTAGCAAGACTAGGAAGCAACAGCAACGATGGCCTGCGCCACCCTAAAACGGTCACTGGAATTCGACCCTGTGCACAGCCACGGAAGGCCAAATAAACGCCGGCGATGCATACCCATGAGCAGCGTCTCGCCCTCGGCCCATTCCAGCAACAGCTGCGGCCAGAGTCCAGGAAACAACTCGCCTTTCGGCGAGGTCACCAACAAGCTCACACCTGGTAAGGCTAGAACGCTCTCTCGCACATCATGCATACCGCGTGTGCGCTTTCCTTAAACCAATTTTTATACCACTTGCATTTTCTATTTGTGTCCTCGTCGTCGTCGTCATTTCTACCTACCCATCGAGACCAATCTCTCAGTTAGTAAGTGTCTTAAGTACCTGTAAGTACTCTTCTTATGTGCACACGGCCATCTTTCTCAATTCTGTATTATAATTGTCCCCGTGTGTACGCTCAGCTGCTTATGTACACTTATGATTTCTTGGGAAAAGTCTGGCTGTTGTTTACATCTCTTTTCTCTCCAAGTACCTAGGCTTATATGTATATCTAAGTACTTTAATTCTCTGATGCATCATTGTTATGCTTCTCAAAGTGGTTGCGTACGTGTACACGCATCCAAGCTTATTTGATCTTTATCGTCATCACCATCATTGTGACCAGATATACACTTATCATCATCCGTTCGATTTCGATTGTCTGGGTGTACTTATATAGTTTGGTGGCAAAAATAGCACGTACACTTACCACATTACCAGGAGCCCATACCACCTAACCTTTTTATTGTACCTTCTTTAACATATATGTAAGAGGGTACAAAAAAATCTTTTTTTTGTATCGCATTTGTTACACTCTTGGGTTCATAGGTGCAGGGGCAGAGCAGAGACCGGCTTTAGCTTGTACGGGCCATACATTCGGGGGTCGGGGTTGGCGGGGTAGCCGTAAAGGATTTAAAAGCCGCTGCAGCATCTTTTATCACGGCGTGTACGTTCAGACAAAAAATGGGATGGGAGAGGGCAGGGTTTAACGTATATTGGAACGTGAGAGCTATAGCTCAGCTAGCAAGCCAGATATATTGTAAGGGGAGGGAACAGAACATCAGATACCTATACTTTTGTACATAAGGGTCGAGGAATCCTAAGAAGGGAATAAGGCATGCTTTTGACAAAGCTTTCCCATTTGTATGTAACGCGCAGTTACGCACCCGAGGAATATTTAGTATATGCTCATATTGCTCATGAGAAAGGCAGAAGAAAAAACTACACATAATTATTATTATTTTTTTTTTTTATTATTATCTAAAATTCATAATTTTAAAATTCATTGAAGTTCGGGAATCACCGATCTCTCCATTCACGGAGAATTTCGACGCTCTTCGAGCAGAATGCGTTGCGGGGCAAGTAGTTCCTATAGATCTGTCGGTTGTATTACAGTCGGCTGAAACTACAATCAATATCGACAACATTGAAAATTTTATGTTTGAAGGTGAGTTTAATTACTTATAATTACTTTTTCCATTCTTCTTTAAATGTTTCTTTTTCTTATTTTTTCTTTTTAACATNAAAATACATTACGTAATTTTTTTCTTCTCTGAAAAAACACTTGTTGCAATCAAAGTGTTAAAATTGTATAAACAATGATTTATAAAAATTCTGTAAAGTAATATTTTTAAACACTAATAAACAAAATATTATTGCACAACAATCAGTATTTTTTTAGAGCTAGCTGTCGTAGTTATTAGCGTTTCTCTTCACTTCCCTATGTGATGTATAAAGTTTTTCATTAGAATAAAAAGAAGTTAGCTCTAACTCATTCCAAGTTTACAAGAGTTGGTACATCGTTCTGGAAATATTAAAAAAAATTCAAGAAAAAATTTGCAAATATCAAGTCATTGTAATCACCTGAAAGAAAAGAGCTGATTTTAAGTCACTCAGAACTTTGATAGTGCTCATTAGTTTTATTAAAAATACATATATTCAAACTAAAAAGCCAATATGGCTCGATTGGAGGCATTTGTACCGATAACTTTAAGTATGTGTTTCTATAGTCATAAGCCTTTCTTTTTAATCAATACTAAGTTAAAAAATGAATGCCTGTGATTGGTACATTTAGCAAAGAAATGTTTTTTCTTGGTCAGGTGTGTGGTAAAGTGTGCCCTAGTAAACATGTTGTATCAATTATACAAAATAATCTTTTTACCTTTTAAGTAAATACTTGACATTTTATGAAAAACTGATATAATTTTCAGAAAAAATGGCTGCTAATCTCAGAGAAGAAATTCGTAGATTAAACAAACGCAAACAATTAACCTTCACTTCCCAAAGCGATTCTTCAGATATGGAGACTCCAAATAGTCCCTCAAGTCCATCCTGCTCATCAAGCAACTACAACTCAAATTCCTGTACTAAAGAAAAGCCACTTTTTACATTTCGACAGGTAATATTATATTCTAGTGAATTACATTTTAAGTAGAAAAAAAAGTGATCTAACAATTAAATTTACTTAGGTTGGTTTGATCTGCGAAAGAATGCTCAAAGAACAAGAAGTAAAAATTAGAGAAGAATATGATCAAGTCTTAAGTTTGAAACTTTCAGAGCAATATGATACTTTTGTTAAATTTACTTATGATCAAATTCAAAAGAGATTCGAATCAGCAGCTGCTCCAAGTTGTAAGTATTATTTTATTTAAAGATTTTTAATTAACGTTTCGTCTATAGTATCAAAACTGTTTTCATTTGTATATTTCAGACTTGTCCTAAAAACGGATTACATAGAGTGAGGCAAAATTTCCCTAAAGAACGTTAGGTTGGTAAAGCTGGTTTATTAATGTAAAAATTCAAATCGGTAAACTCAATAATAAGTTATGTTAATAATTACAGATTTTTACTGCATAAATGGGTTAAATTTGCTTAAATTCTTGAGCAAAGATAAATAATACTACAGCGTACTATACAGATGAGTAAAAGAGAGTCGTAATAATGTTAAAACATAAAACCAATTACCATAGTAGAAATGGCAAAAAAAGATTTAGCAATGTAAGTTTAGTAAGTTCTCAATGATCAGTGATTGCATTAAAAATTAAAAAAAAATTTACAATATTTGCTAGTGATTCAACTAACAATGTTTGTACTACCTAGTATTAGAAGTGCTCTGGTATCGGAGAACTGTGTGTATGATTCATTGCCAATGCAAAATCTATTGTAGATACTGATTTAATTGATAATGCAATGATAGCGTAGTAAGTTTTCTGACAACGTGTAATTGAAATTATTTTCAAACACCTCAAAAATATTTGGAAAAAAATTCGAACAATTTTCCTGAAATGGGCGTTCTTTTTGTATTCCGCGTTGAAATGGAAACTTTACCTTGATTACGTTTTTGGGAAGGTAAAATGAGCAGCCGGTGATTTTCTGTTTAGGCTTAATACTGTTATTAACTTGTACGTAATTTAAAAAATTATTTCCCGCAAACTGAGCCGAGATAAAAAACGTGTCTCTGACACGTGGAATATTACTCGTTTGTAATGCCTAATCAAATATCGCAAGAAAAATAACTTAAAATCACAATTGAGTTAGAGAATAATTAGCATATTTTTAAGCACCAAATACCATTGTGAATTAAAGCTAGGTACTTTTATTTAAAACTTCTTGCGACACCCAGTGCTTTACGCGCAATAAGGTAGAATTCTATGCTTATATAATTCAAGTCGTCGCTTTGATATTCATTAACTATAATTGTAAAGTAGGTGCATTATTGAGAAACAAGACTTTTTAATTTTGCATAACTTTTGAAGTTATTCATAAAATTAAAAATTCGAAACTCATATTGAGATACATTGTAAGCGAAAGGTTTTGTAAGAAATTAAATTTTTCCGTAATAGCGCGATGTAGTTTTAAAATGGAGATATAAATATGCTAGATTCTCCTTACGATTGACGTGCCATTTTTTTAAGTCAAAATTCATTGCCTGGTACATAAAACTTATTTTTCAGGCTTGGATTAGTGATTGGGATTATTTGTAAATTAAATATCACAAATAATAATTTTCACTTTTGTCCATCATTATCACTTAAGCAAAGGCACTACCTATTTTTGAATAACTCCCAAGAAGTGGCCCAAAATTTGTTTCTCTCATAATTTGACACTCAAATTACAATTTTTTTTTTTTTTTTTTTTTTTTCATTGGTTTCACTGCTACTTGTGTAACGTAAAATTAATATCTGGAATATCTTGAGTTAATTTTAATAACCATAACACTTTCATTTGTAATATAGATATAAATCAAAGTAATTTGAAAACTTGGAATTGTATGGTTGCATTAATAAATTTTTGGAAAAACTTTTTATGTCTTTCATGTATTTCTTGTTCCCTAATAGCAACGGCTTGCCATAGTATCTACCTTAATTGTGCCTACCAATAGTTGTATTTACGCCTATCCACTATAATATGTCCCTTTCGTTTTGTAAGGTTAATTTTTATTAATATTTACATTGCTAATGTTATTTTTGCTATTACTGTTATTACTTGTCGAATTTTGTTTTAAAAGTTTGTAATTACTCAGCTCTTGTGCATACACGATTTCTGTTAACATATTATGAAGTATACCACACGCATATAAATATTGTATAAAATTAAATTTAACATAATGAAACAGTAGACAATGTTAATTAGCATCATAAAAAATAAGCTTGTATTCCCGTGATCCTAAGCCGTCTCAGAGTATAAATTATTTTTTTTGTAGAATTAAAATTTTGTAACCCTCAAATGAAAAATTTGTATAGCAGTCTTGAACAATTGGTGATTCTAAATTTTGTTACGAATCGTTAGCCTTATTTTTTTTAATTACTTGCCAATTTATTGAATTATGAAATCTTGAGTGAAACACGATTTTTTATTTTCCTTTTTCAAGATGAAATTTTCCTTTGTACATTGACTGTTTTGTAATTTAAATAAAAATTAAACTTTTTGGTTAATTTCAGCGAAACTCGCTAAACGAGACATTTTTTAATGAATTTTTACACTTGTAATTCGTAATAAAAAAAATAAAGAAAGAAGAAGAAAAAACTATATGAAACCGTATAATGCTTTTGATACACGTAATATAAATGTAAAGTCAATAGTTTGTAGCGTGTTAAAAGGAGAATGAGAAAAGAAGATAGTGGATGAAGAGGCAAAAATTTGTCAAAGTGCAAGTTATTTCATAGCTTTAAGTTTAATGTACATTATTGCGATATCGCTTGCGATGGGCGATCGAAGTATTGTCAAAACAAAAACAAGCGGCAATTCCGGCAGTTCAGTTTAGCGACGTTCTAGATAGATGAAATGAATTTGAAATTGAACGATATATAATAACTACCCATGTACCACGTAAACTTATCATCATTATTAACATGATTATTATTTTTATGATTGAAATAAAAAAAAATCTTAAGACTGCACACAATACTTGTTGATGTGACTTTTTCTTGCACCAACTTTTTATGACAAATCCCGTAAAATGTTGTAGTATGGGAGTAATCCATTAAAAATTTCCCGTGTCCCCCATCAATCATTAATCCCGTTTGTTTGGAATTAGAACTGGGAAATTTTTCAGCCAACTCAAATTTGCCACAAACAAGCAGCTAAAAGCAACAATTTTTTAGTGGCAGTACTATATAGTGCTCTGCTACACTTTCGGGCGCTACTCGACTCAAACGTAGGTATAGCATTTATAGTATTTAGTACTTATGATTTGCGCGGTAAATTAATACTATCGGCAATTAATCAGTCAAAGAATAAAAATAAATGCACGCAATTCTAACATAATACTAATGTGTGCATCTTTAATAAAGTTATTTCAAGTACTTAATGGGTCGAACTGTGTCACTACAAAATTTTAGGATAAAAAATTTTCTCCGACTTGGACGTTTCTTTACTGTATAGTTTTGAATGGGGAGTTTCTTATTTTATTGAGCCAACGAATTGTACATATTTAAAAAATTCGAAATTCGAAGTGCAGACTCAACTGTTCGACTTTTGAAGCTGTAGGCATTATTTTTCAAGAGGTGAGCATAAATGTAGTGTCGAGCGAAGCAAAAGTTGATACTCAACATATTCGCTATTAAAATTACTTTCATAAAAAAAAAAAAAAAAAAAAAAAAAGGTTTTAGTTCTATATCGGCAAGTTACTTTTATGAATATTCCACATACGCGTGCGGTTTATGCACGTGCGTACAACACATATCCAATATACACATGTATTTTAGGGGGTGTGCAAAAAGGGGGTTTGTGGGCGTNGTACTGGCTTGGAGAAAAAAAAAAAAAAAAAAAAGGTTTTAGTTCTATATCGGCAAGTTACTTTTATGAATATTCCACATACGCGTGCGGTTTATGCACGTGCGTACAACACATATCCAATATACACATGTATTTTAGGGGGTGTGCAAAAAGGGGGTTTGTGGGCGTGCATGAAAATTTTGTACGTCTGGTGTGTATGCACGTACAACATATAATAAGTTGTTGGAAAAAAGATGCGCGCGCTGTGTGCCGTTTAATCCGATTTTACCTTTGAAAAGTACAATAATTGAATGATCCGGTTAAAGGAAAGCAGTATGATGACGATGTACAGTGGGGCTTCGAGGTGCATCGGGAAGCCCCTGGAGCGAAGTCTATAAGAGGTGGTGCACCGGACCCGCGAACCCGTCACTTCTGGGCGGGAATCCTAAAAATCAACATAATATTAGTGTATCATATATTACCCCGGGCTCGAGCCATCAGCGGACGATCCCGCACGTAGTGGGCCCCTCTCTCTCATTCTCACAGTTTTTTTTTTTTTTTTTTTTTTCTCTTCGAAATTCGTTGTTTTCATTGTCGTTCAAGTTTTGTATTGTCTGTGCGTGAGTGTTCGTTCTTAATTGGTGCTTGCAACCTCAACGCCAGATGATTGGGGTTTTGCTGTTGGCCTATGTCGTGGCCGTCAAGGTTTTCAAAAAGGTCACCCCCAATGGTGAGTCCGTTTCTTCTTTTTGCTTTAACAAACCAACGGAATTGCAGTTCTTCGGGCTGGTTATTATGTAATTTTTTTATCTCTCCCTCTTTTTGCAACACTCTCACTGTGCAAAGTAGTTTTTTATTTTCCCGGGCACTGATGCACTTGATTAAATCACTTCAGGTTGGAACATTGATTATCAAAATTGAGTACAAGTATAATTACGTTGCGTAACAAGTGTATATACAATTGAAGCTTTGATTACGTACACCTACTTGGAAATTGTTCGCCGAGAAAAGTATTGAAAAATAATTACAGCAATTGATTCCTTACAAATATATGAAGTATCTAGATCGGTATAACTCGCGTATACTTATTTATCTCAATGGTGTTTCGAACGTATATATTATCACGTATACGTATGGCGTTGGCTCTTAGGCAAAGTCACGGTTTACCTCGGCAAGCGAGACTTTATCGACCACCTCGAGTCAGTGGATCCCATCGATGGCATCGTCGTCGTCGAGCCCGACTACCTCCAGGGCAGAAAGATTTACGGCCAGGTAGGCTATACCTACGTACATTTTTCATCGGTGCTTCTACAATATAGCCGTTACAACCGATTTTTCGAGCTTTTAAATCAACAAAAGGGTTCCTTTTTTTTTTTTTTTCTTCCCGATCCTGTATATATTATACGTAATGGCGCTTACCTCTAAAAATGTATAAAAATTGTCACGATACGCGGAATGGCACGAAAAACGACGCTCTGATTCGGGGGGGTGAATGGCAAAAATGCGTAGGTGATCACAACGTACCGCTATGGCCGGGAGGAGGACGAGGTGATGGGGGTGAAGTTCAGCAAGGAGTTGGTCCTCAGTCGAGAGCAAATAGTCCCGTCGAAGAGGGAAAAGCAAGATTACACGCCCATCCAGGAGCGGCTGTTGAGGAAACTCGGCTCCAACGCCTATCCTTTCCTGTTTACCTTTCCAGCCAATTCACCGAGCTCGGTTACCCTACAGCCCGGCGATGACGACCAGGGCAAGCCCCTCGGTGTCGAGTACACCGTCAAGATCTACGTGGCCGAGAGCGAGGACGACAAGGTGATTTCAATACATTGAGCTTTTCAACTCGCTTCGTACCCTTTTTTTTTTTTTTTTTTTTTTTTTTTTTTTTTTTTTGTGCCATTATTTGACAAGTTCAAGTACATGGATTATAAAGGGTAAAAAGAAAAAAATGCTCAGTTGTCGCGAAACACAAAAAAATCAAATAATAATTCAATAAGGCGTGTCGTAAAGATTATCGCGTGCATTCTCGTATTTAAGAATATAACTGGATTTTCGCTCGTCTAGGCATCTCTTGTGTGTATATTATATAACGACCCATTTACTTATCAGGCGGAGACTCAAACTGCATGCGTACTTACCTATATTTTTATACATTGCATTGTATACCGATTCCTAAGCTGCTTTCGTAACGCGCGTTTTTGACTCTTCAACGTTTAAACAATAAATAAACAAATAAATATGGCACTAGCGGGTATAAGAGTGCATTTTTCTCCAAATCTCTTTTTTTACGTATATATACCTATACATTGATTTATGTAATGCCCGGGGTCGTGTGTTACCTGTACGTAAAAAAATATATCTCGCTCGTTACGTCAAAAAATGTACATGGTAGCTCGTATAATAAGTATGTAAGAACGAAGAAATGCAACAAAGGGCCGAATGAACGGAAAATTTGGATGAAAACGTAGCGCAAGAAAGTATAAGCTGAGTAATGATATATGATATGTTTGTCGATTCAGGGTCACAAGCGATCCTCCCTCGCCTTGGCAATTAAAAAATTACAATACGCCCCACCGTCGCGCGGCCGCAGGCTTCCGAGCTCATTAGTATCCAAGGGATTCACGTTCTCTCAGGGCAAGCTTAACTTGGAGGTGACATTGGACAGGGAAATTTACTACCACGGCGAAAAAGTGTCGGCCAACGTCATAGTGACCAACAATTCCCGCAAAGCCGTCAAGAACATCAAGGTGCCGTTTCACACATGCGTGTATCTCTCTCTCTCTCTCTTATCTGACTTTATAAGTAGCACGAGTATAACATAAATAATGAGCGTATACATATATGCTTGTTTGGCCCTTCATTGCGCAGATCTTCGTTGTCCAGCATTGCGAAGTGACCATGGTGAACGCCCAATTCTCGCGCAACGTGGCCAGCTTGGAGACGCGAGAGGGTTGCCCCATAACACCGGGGGCCTCGTTTACCAAACAATTTTACCTCGTGCCCTTGGCCAGCAGCAACAAGGACCGTCGAGGCATTGCGCTCGACGGGCATCTCAAGGTACCTATACATACTATATTATTATTATTATTATTATTATACCTACATCCGCGTATACTGTATATATACACACACATATATATATAATATAGACGCGATCATTGTATTGTTGTTTTTCCAGGATGACGACGTCAATCTTGCCTCCTCGACGATGGTTGCCGAGGGCAAAGCCCCAAACGAAAACATGGGTATCGTCATCTCGTACTCCGTACGCGTGAAACTCAACTGCGGCACCCTTGGCGGTGAACTCGTCACCGACGTGCCCTTCAAACTCATGCACCCGGCTGTGGGTCAGTTTATTTTTTCAACATACATTCATCTATTATGTTTCATTACATTACATTACACGCGTAATACGTTGTGGATGCCGAAAACTGGGAAAAATACATTAAAAATACGCACAAGTGGGAATAATCGAAACAACGGAAAACGATCGTGCTTTTTGCAAGAATCTATTTATTTATTTATTTCGACAAAAATATGGCTTTCTTCGTCACGAGCCCCGTTTAGTTACCACGTTTTCACCGAAACAGTCGAAAATTCAGATTTTTCGTACAACGTCAGCCATTCACGGCACAAGTTTTTTTCAGCGTGAACATTAAAAGTGAGCCGCGAGACAAACTTGATCAGCCGAACCAAACTGTGTCTTATCAGAGGCAAGAGCTGCTAAAAACCCGCGATTAATGTTTTCGTAAATATGTATTGCAAAAAAAAATAATTCTTTTTTTTATTTTACTATTTAAAATACGATTGAATCAAGTTGAAATTTGACGTAAAATTTACGTTTGGGAAGTAGATCGGTAAAAAAAAAAGAAAAAAAAAAAAAAGTAGAGTTAAATTTATTGAACTTAATATTATATTGGTGGATTCTTACCTTAGACGATGAGTTAACAGCAGCTTTTTGTTTTTAACATCGGGGTACAGTGCATGCAAAAATCTTTGTTTCCAATTTTTCGGGGCCCAATTTAGAGACATGCCCACCACGTATTATGAACTTGACGCTTTTGTTATCGATGTTCAGGAGCTGGAAGTGGGCCGGAACCAACAAAGGAGTCCTCGAAAGGAATGAAGAAGACCAGGAGCATCGAAAGAGGTCGGTACGATAATTACGCCAACGACGACGACGACAATATCGTATTCGAGGACTTTGCCCGTCTGAGAATGAACGATCAGGAATAAACGCAAGGCCATAGGTCGTGTCCATGGGGTTTCGAAGAGAGATTTAGCAGAACAATTTATTGGAACAAAAAAAAAAAAACACAAACAACGAGAATCTTATAGAAAATCGTGTGCGTTAAATGCAGTGTAAAATTTTTTTTTTTTTTTTTTTTTTGAGGAATAACGTGTCTTCAAAACCAGCCGATGTGCCAGAGTTTAAACAAACAAAAAAATATCTAAAAATGATAAAAAAAAAGAGAAAAAAAATATTCAAAAAATGTTTGTTAACATCGCCTTGGGAATTTCCTTTCAATTGTGGTGGTTGAAGGGAAATTTCATTGGGGGGGCGAGCAAAAAAAATGTTGATTTCAAGTAAGCTTAATCGTTAATTAAACTTAATGAAAATAACACGATTTCCCGTATTACCAGAAGTGACATTAATCTTAATAATTGTCTTTGATCATGTCTTAACATAATGACAAAGAATTATATACATATATATATATGTATATATATACATATAAATGATAGACGTTTATTATACATGTTGATAATTTCTATGGATTCCTAAGCCTAGGGTTGTTGAGTTTTTGCTGTACGCATTAGAAAGTAAACAACAAAAATATAACCGTTTAGTATTAATTTAATTGTGAAACGTTTTCAAAGATTGATAAGTGTTACCATTAAAATGTTGTTTTATTATAATGATTGTTGTAAGAATATTTGAATAAAATAATATTTACAACTTACAATGTTTAAAAAATTAGGATATTTTATTTATAAAAATATTTTACATTTTTTAATCCATCCATCCAGGTATGTACATGCATAGATACATTTATATTAAAAATACAACAGTTATTTCAGTCATACATCGAAGAGTAAAAGTCTTGATAAACTTGTATATATACTTCTTTTTCTGCATCAGTCATTTCTGCGATAAGCTGGTCATTAATATCGGTTATAGCGATTTTCTTACCGTTTACATTGACCGTTGGTATTTCGTCATCATCTTCCGACTCCATAACATCAACCTCACCTATATTCGATGAAAAAAAATACAGTTATTATGGAGAATTAATTTGTGAAAGAACAAATCGTTTCCAAATACTTTTTAAAAAATTATAAATATTAAAGTAACAATTGATAAAATCACGATGAATTGAAAACTCACCAGCATCAACCGTTTGCATATCTCCTACATCCTCATTGTCACTACTGTCACTTGATTCATGCTGTAAAACAGTTCTTACAGCAGTGGCACTAATGCCACCTTTCTTTTCATGTGCTAAAAGTACCGACATAATATCTTCACCCTGTTTGCTATTGACTGTGTTAGTATTTGAAGCGGCAGTTGCAGCACTTTCTAAAATGCTATCTTGATTGTTTCCTAGATCATTTTGTTCATCCGAAGTGGTGACTGTACTATCCGTCAACCAAATTGGTCTTTCTTTCTTTTTATTTGCACTGTCATCTTGAATTTCATCTCCTATTAATACATCGACTCGCGTATCCTCAACCAAAAATCCAGTATTTCTCGTTGCTTCACCTGACCATTGTTCATTAGGTCCACGAAGATTAGATTTCTTATTATCAATGCTGAAATAAAAAAAATTTATTTTTATTTTATCAACAAATGCATCAAATTGTAAAAAATGTATAGTGTAATACCCTTTGAGAGCATTGATATCTGTAGGTTCGGGCTCCAAGATTTCTGGTGCCAATTTGATTCCTTCTACTTCTCGAAGAAGAATGTACAGTGGTTCTAATTGTTCATTGAACTTGGCTAACAGTAATCTTGAATCTTTTTTTGGAAGTGCCGACAGATCTTCTTCAACCAATTCTTTACAAAAAGTACACCGAAATTCTGCAGTATCCATATCAAATAACTGATCAGCCTCCAAATCTGTAAATGTTTTTAAACAGCTAGTGCACTTGAAACTGGCTCTACTCGTTGCATCTCTTTCTTCAGTCTCCATCTTTTTTCTCATCACATCTAATTTATATTTGACAACATTTACAAATATCTAAAAACAACCAATCCTGTAATATTTATGAATAACAAACATTTACTGGCACCTTATCCAAACAATACCTTGTAATTAATAAAATAATAATTGACTTTTTGTGCTTTTCCATCTAATCCAGTCTCCATTCTTAGCTTGACTTGAATAAATTTATCATTCTTCAACGTAGTTATACGTGCCCTTAACATTTTTCTATCAAATTTAAGTAAATCACAGATATCATCTTCTTTCATGCCTAACAAAAGTTTTATTTGCATTACTTAAAGTCAACAGGCAAAAGTTTGGTGTGTATGATACTCACATGGATTTCTTACAAGCATATCAATAATAAGTGAATCTTCAATAGAATAAAAACCTCGCACTACTAATCGCGCCAGTTGTTTTAAACTACTAGGAACTTCTGTGACCAATCTGTCCTCAGAGCTCATTTCGGAACTAAAGATTAAGTTACAGCATAAGGTAAGTATTAATTTTACTTGATCTGACTTCCTTGTGCCTTACAAGTTCTTGAAGTCTGTGTTGTGGTGTTTGGATTACAAAAAATTTTGTCATCCAAAAAACTGATTTAATTAAAATTTGTGATTAAAAAAATTCAACCTAAAAATTGTAAAATAAAAATTAAGTCTATCAAAAAAAGTCCACAATATTTACTGCAATATCGCTGTTCTGTTACTGAAAGTTGTTACCAGGTCATTACAGACCCTCTACTGAAAATTTGAGGTTAAGAACTTCAATTGACACAATAATATTTTATTTGGTTTATGATCAGCGCCATCTAGCAGTGCTCATTTTCTCGCGGAGAATCTCAAAATGTGTTAAATGTCAAAAATCGGCTCAAAAACTCTCTTATAAATATTTATACCTTTGGAGGTCAATTTTCGGGTAAAAGATAAATTTTACACCTGCCGCAAATAGCACAACTAACATTAACATTTTATGTTAAACGTATTTATGAACAGTTGCGGCTGGTTTATAATTAATTACATGGCTCTACTGTAAGTTGGAATAGTAATTTGGATCAGCGCCATCTAGCGTTGCGGATTTTTGAACCAAAAAGTGGCCCTAAACTTTTGACCTGTAGCATTAGCGCTTAGAGCCATTTAGCCTGTTATAAATCAGCCGCAACTCATTTAGTAGCTATAAAATAAAAAAATAACGATATGTGTGTTTTTGGCGGCAATTTTACAATCTATCTTTTACTCGAAAATTTATCTTCAAAAGTATAAATACATAGGAGGTCAATTATTTGGTAAAAAATAGATTGTTAACTTGCCGCCAAAAACACATGTATCGTTATTTTTTTATTTTATAGCTTCAAAATGAGTTGCGGCTAGTTTATAATAGGCTAAGTAGCTCTTACCGCTAAAGCTCTGGTTGAAAAGTTTAGGGCCACTTTTGAGTTCAAAAATCCGCGACGCTAGATGGCGCTGATCCATAAAATTATTACTATAACTTATACTAGAGCTGTTTAGTCAATTATAAACCAGCCGCAAGTGATCGCATAGGTACAAAATACATAACAAACGTTGTCTGTGCTGTTTGCGGCAAGTTTACAATATATCTTTACCCAAAAATTCATCTATATATCTATACTTTTTGAAGTAGATTTTAGATAAAAAATAAATTGTAAACTAAGTAAACTTGCCGCAAATAACACAGATGTCGTGACCGGGCTTCTGTAGATATATGTCACTAAAGTACTTTTAATATTCTCTACTTCTTTTCCGCTGTTGTAATTGTACTGCTTATGGGCAGAAAAAAGTAATGTTTGTTAATGTTGTTGTTGATGAATAAAGTAATGGTTAATTTACTTTTTTGGATGATTATCAATGGCAGCTATTGATAAAGTAAAAATTATCGTTGTTGGAGACTCAGGTAAGGTCTTGTTTGTTTCAAAACAATCGTGACATCCTTCGTATGACGTATTTTTATTCATTTTTTTTTTTAACGAATTGTTGTATGTTCGCTAAAGTAAGCAAATTATTTTAATGCAATAACAAAAAAAGTTGTCTGGAATACACATTTGATAAAAATTATACATCAACTTATAGGTGTGGGAAAATCATCTCTGACACATCTAATATGTCATCAACAACCAATAAGCAATCCATCTTGGACTATTGGATGTTCTGTGGAAGTTAAATTGCATGAATATAAGGAAGGTACACCTAATCAAAGGAGATATTTTATTGAACTATGGGACATTGGAGGTAGTCAAAGTCATAAAAATACTCGTAGAGTATTTTATAATCCAACAAACGGTAATACATGTTCAATGATATTTAGAGTCCAATTGCTTAACTTTTTGTGTTTCATAATTGTATTCAGCTAGTGCAGTGGGTAAATCTTATTTCAGGTATTATACTTGTTCATGACTTGACCAACAGGAAATCCCAACAAAATTTACAAAAGTGGTTAGAGGAAATTTTAAACAAAGACAGCAGCAATACTAAACCAAAATCGTTTGACGATTTTGACCCTGAAAAATTTGTAGGGTCAACACAGGTTTGTTACATTTAATTGTTGTAAATACAATATTCAACCATAGGTACGGTATTAAGTGCTTATTAATAATTTTACATATTTTAGATTCCAATTTTGGTAGTTGGAACCAAATTTGATATGGTTACGGAACTAAGATCAAACATATATAAACGTTCCTCCACAATAGCTGAAGAGTGTGGTGCTGATGAAATATTTCTAGTAAGCTTTATCTACCACTGATTTATCTTGCATCAACTAAAATTCTTTAAAAATTTTAGGACTGTCTTCAAATAAGATCTTTAGCGGCAGGATCCAGTTCTTCAGTAAAATTAAGCAGATTTTTTGACAAAGTTATTGAAACAAGGTACTATGCAAGGGAAGGAATAAACCTCGAGCAACGTAGACTACCAGTATATACTACACAGTACAGCACAAAATCGTATCATAACGATTAAAATTAAGACTATGATTCATGCAAAATATATTTTTTGCCGAATTTTTTGGTCAATACACATTTTTAAACCTAATTGATGCGTCTTTTGTCAATAGTTATCCTAATACACTATATATTTATAAAATATAAATAAAACATTTTATACTAACTCGAGAGATTTTCTTAAATTGTAGTCACTTACTGTGTAGTATAGTCAAAGTTAGGTGCCGAATTCAAACTCAATCAAATTAATTGTAATAAAAAAAAAAAAGAAAAGAGAAGCTTTCATTTAATGATAAAAAATTGAAAATTACTTTATCTTTGAGTCACCACTTGACTACAGAAAAATCGTGGGTTGCACTAATTATAAATATTTAAATTATCATTAAAAAAATGTAATTGAACTAAAATATAAGCGCTCTGCTTACACCTAGATAGAACTGAATCAAAGGAAAAAATTCCCTTTTTTTTTCAAAAGTTTTTCTTTATTTATTTTATTTTATTTTTTTCAAATTTTCAGTCATTTGTATAAGCTTATTTGAGTTCAAAATTTGTTCTTCTATGATTGTCGAAACAATATGTATTCGATCTACTCGACAAAACATCCACCATTTTGTCGCAGACGTCATGCAGTTTATTGTGACGACAGGAAAAAAAATGTTTTTATGTAAAGCAGTAACACAAGGCAGTTTAACAAAGCTATGTCGTATGTCATAAAACGTAAGTTGTTAAAATTATGAAAAAAAAAAAAAAAATAGATCAATAAGTATTCATAATCAGCGTATAAAAAGATAAATTGCAACATTCATGACATTCTGTGCGAAAAAGTTGTATTTTTGCAAAACCTACAAGTTCTCCGTGTGCAATTAATTTTCCTTAAATTGCCTTTTGTTAGAGATAAAAGCCTACAATATTAAAAATGTTCTATCTTCTTATTCAAACGGCAAAGAAAAGGCAAGTTTAATATGGAGATGTATCGGTGTAGTCCCACACACAATTTTCGCATCTGTTAATATAATAGCCATTTCTGTACTAACTTGTCCTTTGACATGGAATTAGTAAAAAGCCCTTGTCTTTTGATGGAAAATCATGATTTCTTTTGTCACCTCGTAAAACAGCAAAAATAATCAGATCAGATTTGAAAAATTCCATAACAAACTATAAGAATTTCTTTTAATAATTAAAAGTAAGAAAGCTTTAGATTTTATATGCTCGCCAGTTGAAAAAAAAAATTAATATGGTAGATATATTATAAAATATGTATCGTTAAAAGACATACACGTGGAAAATTATAAAACTCAGCACTAGTACGCGCATGTATTTATTATTATTTTTATATTAACCAGACGCAGTATGCGCATTGAAAGGTTCTCCGCACAACACACTGGAAACTGAAGCTACAAAGGCGGAAGCTACATGTCGTTGCGTCTCATAAGTAATTCATGGACACATATCACTCTGCAATTATAGCTTAGTTCTGAACTTTTTTTTTTTTTTTTTTTCCTTGGAGTATAAGCTCCTACAGAGTCACCCACCACCCCTGATTGGATTAATAATCGGCGTCTGTCTTTCATTCGTACTTCTCTGTGCTCAGTTACATTCGTGCCATTCGCAGCAGTACTTAACAGACGTATTGGTCATATCGTATTTAACAGATTATACATACATACAATTATAGTTTAATGACTCCTTGTAAACATAAAAGTAGCCCATCAGGTAATTTTAAGACTTATTTTTTTACTAACTTGAACAAAGTAACGTTAAAATGTATTATTATGTATACTTAAAAAAAAAAAAACAACATTGTATCAAATACGATTTTAAAGGATCATCGTATTTGCCGTTTTTTTATTTTACAAGGTAACCCAATGAGAAACAACGCGAACTTAAATTACGCGATCGGACTCAACCGCTTCAGTCTCGAGTTGATTGGCGCTTGGCCCGATGGAAACGAAAAAGCTCATGGCTTCAAAAATTTGCGTATCTTATTCATGATCTCATGTTTGGTACTTTTTATCTTCGTACCTCAGATGTATGCTCTTTCGCAAGTTTTTCGCCAACTGCCCTTGGCCATTGACAATATCACGACTTCTTCGGCCACCTTTGTGTCAATCATCAAACTCTGGCTTCTGTGGAACAGTCGAAAAGGTAGAAACAATTAACATACACATCTTATTTCTTCACACTTGGGCATGAATAGTCTTTCAATTTTTTTGAAGTATAATATTTCATTTAAAGTACAATGTATAATTAATTAAAAAAAAAAAAAAAATTATTAAAAGAGGTTTAACAAACATCTCAGAATGCAGAGAAAGCGGTAAAACTTTCAACAATAACTATTCGAAGTATCGGGAAACTGTGTGAATTTTTTCAATATTTTTTACCACACATATTTTTATTAATAAAATTTTAACCCTTGATACGAGCTTTTAAGGACAGCAAATGAATTTAGGCTTTTTATTTTATTTATCAATAAAAAAAATAGTTCATCGCTTTTTCAGTATTTTGAAAAAATCTTAGAACCTCCTGAAGTACTACTTCAGACTAAAAACGAACGGACAATTTTGAAGAAAAAAAAAAAATGTTCTTTCAAGTGCGTAAAAATCAATGAAATAATTGTGCCCAGATCCATGTTATATATCGTATAGATCGAATCTCCAGAGTTGATATAAAAATTTGTTATGGCATTGATTTCAAGTCAGCATTAGAACCGGTTGTGACCAGCATCATAGCCGATTGGACCAGTTCGAAACCTCTTTGGGAGATGAACATTATGAAAAAGCAAGCGAGACGAGCGCGGATGTTCACCATTAGCGGATATGCCATAATGTTCAGTTGTTTTTTTGGATTCATTGCTTTGCCCTTGTGTGGACTCAGTACGCGTATAGTCAATAATATAACAGATCCCAACAACGGCCGTTACTTTCCTTTACAAACGAAATATCCTTTTCCCTCCGAAATGTCGCCGTACTTCGAGTTGACTTACTTATCGCAACTCGTCACAGGTAAGCAAGTCTAGCGTAACTATGGAACTGATTTTTTTTTTTTTTTTTTTTTTTCATAAAAAAGTTTTCAATTTAAAATATTATATACATTTCAGGTGGTTTCGTTGGAATCGCCTTTTCTGTTCCGGATAACTGGTTTGGATGTCTTGTCTTTCACGCTTCCGCACAGTGTGAAATTTTGAAAATTAAATTAAGTGAAATTTCACCAAATTATTTTAATCTTGTCTCTGAAAACAGGGAAAAAAGAAATAAACTTTTGCAATTGAAATTGATTCAACATGTCAAGACTCACGTGCAGCTTATTAAGTATGTCGACAGATGCAAGCTGTTACGTAAAAAATGGGATTTAAATAGTACTTAATAATGATAATATTGTTGATTGCTACAGATTTGTAAATGCAATAGAAGAATCATTTAATGAATTAATTTTGGTTCAAGTCGTTTTTTTGTCATTAATCATGTGTTGTTTAGGATTCGGAGTATTAAGAGTGAGTAAAAATACGGGTATACATTATTTCCTATGTTTTTTTTTTTCATCGTAAGACATTTTCAAACAAATATTTTCCACTACCATACAGTTTTTTAAATACGAAACGGAAGTTCCAATTTTTCAAGTGGTCACTTTAGCAGGAACACTTTTGAATCTGTTGATCCACATGCTGATTTATTGTATTGCGAGTGAAATCGTTGCAGCGCATGTAAATTTTAAAAATTCATTTTTAATAATCGTTATAATAATTGTAGTGATAATAACATGAAATATTATTTTAATAATTTTAGAGCTCTGATTTTTCTCAAGCAATTTACTTTTCTTATTGGTATCTTTTACCTGCAGCATGCGCACGAGATATGATTTTTGTCATGAATAGATCAAAATTTCCATTGAGACTCAGCGCTGGAAAATTTTTTTACTTATCACTCTACTCTTATCTTCAAGTATATCCGTTATTATTATTATTATTATTATTATTATTATTATTATTATTATTATTACTATTA